AAGGGGTTGGGCTTTGTGGCGCAGGCCCGAATCCTAGCAGTCGGGAGACTGAGGCAGGAGGATATGGGCATCTTAGAGGCCAGCCTGTACTATTTGCTGAGTTCAAGGTCAGCCTGGATGCCACAGCAAGATCCTGTCTCAAACATACAAAGAAAAACACCACATCAAGCCACTAACTTTAAATCTTTTATACAATCTTTACTGTATTTTTTTTTTTAAATCAAATAAACCAACCTATCTTCCATGTCCCTCCAAATGCTTTTTTCGGCAACTAGATCTACTTTGTACTCTCATCTTGACTTTAAATGGGATACATTTCTCATCAAAATAAAGCACCACCCGGTGAGAACTGTAGATAAGACTTCCAGTCTGGGGACTCCACCAAGCTTGCTGCTTTTTTGGTCTACAGCACAGCCTTCTCTGGATGCTGACATCCATCAGAAGAACCATGTTTCTATTTTCCTCCCATCTCTCAAACGCCTTCAAGATAGAAATCGAATTCACTGCCCACCAGCTGGCTCCAGTTCTCTGACCTTAGTGGAGAAACCTCAGTTCTTCAGAACAATGGCTGGGGGTGTGGCTCAGTGGTAGAGACTTTGGGTTCAATCCTCCCCGGCAAAACAAACATACACACAAAAGCTTCATCTTCACCTCACCTCTTCTCCACCTCATCTCAACCGGCTCCCAATCCTCACCCCAGGTGGAATATAAGGAGGCCCTTCCCAGGGGATGGGGCTTCCCACTCTCAACTGCTAATAGGCACAATTACCACTCTCCCCCTCAGGACTAGGGCTTCAAGAACTTTGTGATGCAAACACAACTTTTCCACAGGACCTACAAAATACTCAAGTGTGGCTAGCTTCCTTAGGTACATACACTCTGGTAAACCAGTCCCAGGCTTGGTTTTTTTTTTTTTTCCAACACAAGCTATGCTAACTCCAAAGCACTGTCAAATGATTTAGGCACAAAATGGCTACTTGAAAATGGAGAGTGGAAAATTTGAAAAATGTATCCCTGATGCTATCATCTGTAACTAATTCAACCTCTTACCTCACAAGGTGCTAGCAACACTTCAATCTGTATACAGGAAACAATTGTATCTTTCTGTTTTGTTTTGTTTCCTTTTTGAGTCAGTCTTCCTACTTAGCTGGGCTCAAACTGGCACAACCCTCCTGCCTCAGCTTTCTGAGTGCTGGGACTACAGACATCCATTGCATGTACAAAATGTATCATAAAGCCCTCAAGGCCCTCAGAAAATCCTAACAGGCACTCTATGCAAACGGTGAAAAATTAAAAATGAAACATCACTATCCAGTGATTTCCACAATAAAATATTGGGGGAGGGGGATGCGTTTCTCTTGATTTCTAAGACTGTGGTACTGTGTTCAGTTCCTCACCATCTAAGGAGAGAAAGAACCTCAATTTTCTCTAAATCTGTTGTTTAACAATAGTAGGTAGTCAATGTCCATTAATATAAATAACTCACTATATTCACTTTCAAGCTCACAAACTATCATAGGGTTTCCCGAGTTATAAATCTGAGAAGGCAAAATCACAGACATAAATTGTAACAGAAATTAGGAAAGCTTAATACGGGGAGTTAGGGTTTAAGGCTGCGCTTTCTATTTGGGATGATGAATAAACTCTGGAAAAGAACAGTTGTGACAGTTACACAACACTATCAATGTGCTCCATCAAACTGAACCATACACTTAAAAACGGTTTTTAAAAAGGTCAGGCACAGGCCGGGCGTATGGCACATGACTGTAATCCCAACACCAGGAGGCTGAAGCTGGAGGCCAGGCCAGTCTGCCCTACACACAATGCGTTCCAGGCCAGTCCCAACCTACCCCCAGCTACCTACATACACACCGTCTCACAATAAATAAATAAATAATTTTTAAAAGATTAAAATGCAAACTTTATGTATCTTTCACCTCAATGAGGGGGAAAATACGGGAAATGCAAATTTAGTGTGCCCAAGCTTTCCTGATTCTCCACGGTTGCCGGTCTGGAAGCCAAAACATTTCTGCGCACGTTTCTCTCCAGCAACTGTAATCAGAATGCGTGGCTTTGACGGGGCACAAACTGACGCTTTCTTCTGTCAACTTCAAAAACCAAGAACCAGAGGCAGACAGAGGCCCGGACAGGGCTGCAGAAGGTGACAGTCTAGGAGTGAGTTATTTCCTTCTAAGTTAGGGATCCCTCCCCAGTAACAAGGAAGCGGTCCCCCCACCACCCCGCCTGTGGGTTTCTAAGGCAGCATGCATCCTGATCGCGCCACTAATCCCTACTGCGCACCTGGAGAGCGAGCGGGGAGCGGGAGGGGTTCGAGCCCCGCACTTCCGGCCGGGCGGGGGCAGAGGGGACCGCCCCCCCCGCACCGCCACCCGCCACCCCCGAGACCGTTTGCCAAGGCCGCCGCGCGGGCTCCCTCCTCGCCTCCCTCGCAGATCGGGAAACCGAGATCTGGTGCCCAGAGGCGAGGGTTGAAACCGCTGGCCCAAGGTCACCGACCGGCGGCCGGCCGAGCGCCAGGCCTCGGACTCCAGGGTCCCCGGCTCCCGCGCTCGCGCCATCGTCTACGCACGCAGCAGCCGGGCCTGAGGCCTCGCCGGTGGTGTCCGATCCGGCCTGCAGGGGTCATGAGAGCCGGGACCGGAGCACGGCAGTCGGGAGCGATCCGGAAGGCGACCTCCGGAATACCCAGCTCCCGCGCTCACAGATGCGATCCCCCACCCCAGGCCGGGAAAGGCCGACGCCGAGGCCGCGCCGGGAGGCCGCCAACAGACCTAACGGAGCGGCGCGCGGGCGCCCGACCCGGGACCAGAAATCGTAGACTACCCACCCTTTCGGGCCCGGAGCCCCGTTGCCGCTCGGCACGCCGGACGCGCCGCTTTCTTCCTCCATTTTGGGCTCCGTCGCCGCCACCTCCGCCGCCGCTTCGACCCCTGCCGCCATTTTCTTCGCGTCTGGGCTTTGTGTGAGGGAGCGGGCTGCGCGGCGCTGCGCCTGCGCGCTCACGTGACCCTATGCGACCAGTAACGCCTGCGCGCGACGCGACGGCTCCCGCTTCCTTCCTTTTACTCCGGTCAGACCACGCCCCCTCCCACAGGCCACGCCTCCCATGGGCGCAGGCGCAGGCGCAGACCGGCTTCTGTGGATTCATTCATTCCCGCGTCAAATTTCCTTTAGATACTTAGTGGCTACTACATCAGACCCTGAGCACAGTAGGGAAGGGGTGCACACTTCAGTCGTACGCACATGAACCCGGTTCTAGTCACTGCAAGCTGTCTGTAACCAGAACTCGGTCAGAAATACAGCAGAGTCTTGTTTGGGGGTTCCTGGATAGTTCATTCTAAGACACTGGTCAACCCCAAATAAACACCGAATAAAACTTTCTCAATTGAAATTACTAGAAGAGATTTACAAGTGGTCGTGGTAGCGCAAGTTTGTAATCCCAGTGGAGAGGGTGAGGCAAAAGAATCGCCATAAATTAAAGGCCAGGGAGACCCTGTTTCAAAATTATTTTTAAAATGAGATTTACAAGGAAAATGAATTTCATGGTTCTTTTTGTTTGTTTACTTGGTTGGGGGGTTTTTGTGGTGTCTGTTTTTGAGACAAGGTCTCTGGCTATGCAGTTCAGGCTGACTTTACACTCACTACGTAGCCCATGCTACGATCACAGGGATCTTCATGCCTCAGCCTCCAAAATGCTGGTATTTAGGAGTACAGTACCATGCATGGCTCACCATATCTAATGGTTTATGGTTGGGCAAATGGACATCATTTCCAGGGGCAACACACTCTAAAGTTGCCTGAGAAGTGAGCACCAGGCAGCATACTTGAGTGTGAGTCAGCTTCTGCAGACACTGGGCCCCCTTGAACCCCTCACTGCTGCCCGGAGGAGGCCTCTGAGCCCTAACCCTTTCACACTGTTCCAGCTCAGGCTTCCTTATCCCAGGGTGCTTGTCCTACAGACCACATAGGATCTTTGTCCTTTACCAAACAGGCTTCCCCCTGCCCTTCCAGCCTGGGCTGAAAGGGCTTATTAGCATCCTCATCCTCCTCCGTGAATGCACTAATACCTGGAAGACAAAAGTGCCAGACCTTGAGCCCTGTCACCCCTCTACCCTGAGGCTCAGTTTGCTCATCTGCAAGAGGCTTAATACAAAACACTCCCCAAATCCGCCTTTCAGGGCTGCTCTCGGCATTAAACTCAGGTGGATGCCAGGCGGTCTGGGATGTAAACAGCTCAACAAGTAAAACGCCTCAGGAAGGAGCTGCTGTTCTCTGGGCTGACCTCATTCCTCAGCTTCCTGGCCTCCTGGAGGACAAGAGGCTCAAGCTCCAAAAGGGGGCAGCACAGACCCTGGCACCAGGGGGTTGCCTGGGGTTTCTGTGCGCTAGGTCTTAATCTTCTCACCTGTAAAGTGGAAGTGATAACAGTTTCTGTTATCACTAACAAGAGCCAGAGGAGGGGGCTGGGGATTTAGCTCAGCGGCATAAGCGCCTGCCTTGCAAGCAGGCAGTCGTGAGTGAGTTCGATCCCCGGTAACAAAAAAGACAAAAAAAAAAAAAAAAAAAACCAACAAGAGCCAGAGGAGGAAAGGATGCTGGGCCTCACCCAGCAGGACCCTGATCAATATAGTGAGCAATTACTAGTAAGCATAAAGGACCCAGCATGGCAGCCAGGCCGCGGGAGACTTTCAAGTGGAAACTGTTTTTAGGTGGCCTCTTTTTATGTCTTTTTTTTTTTAAGGCAGTTTCTCCTAAGTAGGTGAGGCTGGCTTTTGAGCTTGTGGCAATCCCTCTGCCTGTGCCTCAGTGCCACCACACTAGGCTTCCTTATGTAGTCTTAGGATCATCTATGTTTACCCTGCTACCTGCGAGTTTTCCTGTGAAAACTCACACTCTGTTTCTCCCTGTGGGATTCAAAACAAATCCTTCCGCTTTGTGCCTCACTTTGAGCCCTTTTGAAATGTAACCGCTGAGTCCAGTTTCATCCAGCAAGGGCTCCTTTTATTCGTTCAGGGGTGGTGTGTTTTGAAACACAGTGCAACTTTAGAAAGTCAAGGGTGCCGGCTGGGAAAGCAAGCCTGCCGGATGCAGAGAAGCACAAGAAGCTCGCTGGGACCTTCCAGCCCAGAGGGCAGCCCTGATGATACCACCCACCATGGCTGCTGGCCCGGGAGGTGCCGAACAGGCTTCAGGATGAGATCAGGGTGCATGCTCCATCTGAAGCTCAGGACCTTGTCTGTCTGTCCTTGTCATGTCCAACAGTGTGCAAAAAACCTGAAAATGTGTTCATGTGGGATCATGGGACGGGCTCCACAGGAAAGGGGCTCTTGGCCCAAGAAGCACTCTGGCCAAGTGGGAAGGCCCGGAGGTTCCAACCGCCTCTGGCCTGTCCGACAACCGAGATGCCTTCACACAGGCGTTTCCTCGGCCACTTTCTTCAGGAGTCCAGCTGCCAGTGGGGAGTGGTGGGCGTCCTCGGGGCTATCTGCATCCCGGATCTTCAGGTGGACTTTCTGGTTCGTCCTCCTCCATTCCGAGTACAGCTGGCAATGGTAGCGGAAGGAGACCTGCAGGGCAGTCCTGCCATGGGTGAGAAGGCCCAGAAGGCTTCCCCTGGCCGAAGGAGGAAGAGGGGCCCATGGTACCTGGCTCAGCCCACACCAGGGTCTGGTTCGTGCTTTCTCTCCGCCCTCTCCCTCTCTTCCTTTTTTTGTGATATGGTGATTGAACCTGAGATCACTGTGCTAAGCTACATCCCCAGTCCATTTTTATTTTTTAGTTTCAGACATCACTAAATTGCTCAAGCTGGGCTCAGCCTTTCTACCCTCCTGCTTCAGCCTCCCATAGAAGGGATTAAATTGTCAAATTAGTTACAGGAGTGCTATGACTGGGAAGTAACCAGGATGTCCCACAGGGACAACAGGTTATTCTTTAGTGATGAAAAGAAGCAACAAACCCAATGTGGTGGCACATGCCCATCATCCCAGTACTTGGAAAACTGAGGCAGGAGAGAATCCCTGCAAATCTGAGGCCAGCCTGGGCTACAGACAGTGAGTTTAAGGTCAACCAGTACTACACAACAAGACTCTGGCTCAAAAAATACAAAAATTAAATAAAAAGCAGCAAGAGGTAGGAATATCTCAGTGATACAGTGCTTGCCTGGCACACATAAGGTCCTGGGTTCCATCCCCAGTACCTTGAAAAAAATATATACAAAAAGAAGTGAGAAGCCAGAGCTGGGTGTGGTGGCTCACCCCTGTAATCCCAGCACTTGGGAGGCTGAGGCAGGAGGATCATTTCGAGTTCGAGACCAGTTGGGCTCCAAAGTGAGCTCAAGGCCAGCCTGAACTGCACGGGGAGACCCTATCTCAAAAAGACAAAAAAAAAAAAAAAAAAAAAAAAAAAAAAAAAAAAAAAAGAAGTGAGAAGCCCTGAAAAGATACTGAGAAACCTTGGATGTGTGTGACTAAGGGAGAGAGGCTAGTCTAGGAAAGGTGCATAGCTCCAACTCCCGACATCCTGGAAATGGCAAAATAAGAGGACAGGGGATAGATCAAGGCCTGCTAGGGGCTGGGGCAGAAGGGAGGATGAGCAACCCCAACACAGAAGTTGGTTTTTGTTTTGTGTTTTGAGACAGGGTCTCTCTCTGTAGTTCAGGCTGGCCTTGAACTCACTGTGTATTCCAGGCTATCCAGGACCTCACAGCGATCCCCCTGCCTCAGCCTCCTGGGTGCTGGGACGACAGCCACATGCCATCTGGAAGATTTTTCAGCAATAAAAATATGCACTGTTGGGGCTGGGGATTTAGCTCAGCGGCATAAGTGCCTGCCTTGCAAGCATGTGGTCATGAGTTCGATCCCTGGTACCAGTTTTAAAAAGCACTATTATGCTGGAAAGGGGATTCACATCATTACAGGTCAGAACCACAGAAGGTGCAGGACCAGGCATGCACTCGACGTGGCAGAGTGGACTGTGGACTCTGGGTGCCAAGACGCAGCTGGGAGATTCACTGATTGCTACAAATGTGCAAAGCTAAGCCGGGTGTGGTGGTACGTGCCTGTCATCCCAAAACTCAGGAGGCTAAGGCAGGAGGATTGCTGCTAGCTCGAGCCCAGCCTGGACTCCACAGGGAGACACTGTTTCAAAACAAAACCAGATGTGCTGAACTGGTGCGGGCTGCTGATGCTGTGAAACTGTACATCCGTGGGGAGGGGGCTGACAGACGGGGATGCTCAGCCTGCCTGGCGTATGAGAAGTCAGTTCCCGCCAGTGGCCACCCCCCAACAATGGAACACTCAGAAGTTTCTGCTCAGTTTCTCTGTAAACCTAAAAGCTGCTCTAAAATCTAAAGTCAATTTTTTTTTCGTCTTTTTATCGGTACTGGGGATCGAACTCAGGACTGCCTGCTTGCAAGGCAGGTGCTTATGCCACTGAGCTAAACCCCCAGCTCTAAAGTCTATTTTTTAAAATGAAAGAAGGAATGGCAGTGGTTGACACTGATGTGTCAACCCCTTGACCATGCCAGTTCTTCAGAAATGATTGTGAGGCTCAGTGGAACGGTACCAGCCTAGCACACACAGGGAGGTGGGAAGGAAAAGAAAACGGCACAGCTGGTGCCCAGCGTTAGTTTAAAAAAAAAAAAAGGGAAAAAAAAATCCACACTGGAGAGAATCCCGCAGACTGTCAGAGGGATTGGTTAAATAAACATGGACTGGCCGTACAGTGCCGGAGTGCTGGGTGGCTGCCTTGTTTTTTAAAAGACACCAACAAAGCGAAGATAAACAGACTGTGAGATAAAAACAAATCCATAAGGCCAGGTGTGTTGCGTGGGCCTGTAACCCCAGCACTCGAGAGGCTTGAGGCAGAAGGATCACCACGCGTAAATCAAAAATTGTAAAAGGCTGGGGGTGTAACTCAGTGCAGAAGTCTGTGCAAACATCATCAGGCACTTCCAAAATCTCAGACACCTGTGAGATCAATCGACAATAAACGCTTACAGGCATGTGTTGAACGTGTGAACTGTTGCATACAAAATATTGGAAGGGTGGAACCCAGGGCCTTTACACTGAGCTACATCCCAGGCCTTTTTTAGTTTTTATTTTGAGACAGGGTCTTGCTAAGTCAGTAAATTCCCCTAGGCTGGTCTGGTACTTGCAATCCTCTTGCCTCAGCCTCCTAGAGTGCTGGGATTATAAGAGTGTACCGCTATGCCCAACTCCTCCTCCTCCTGTTTTTTTTTTTTGTTGTTGTTGTTGTTTTGTTTTGTTTTAAAGATAGGCTTTTCTGTGGCTTGTACCTAGATGCCCCCCCCCAGCCTCATGTGGTCACAGCTGGGGCTTTTTGGGGGGTGGCTGGAACGTAGGGTGTGTGAAGGTAGATTAAAGAGGTGTGATCAGTGCTCATAACCTGAAAGGAATTAAAGGAAAGAAAGTAAGGCTGGTTGCTGCCTGCCTGCCTGCCCTGCCGTGGACTGTTTCACCTCTGCAATGCGACCCTGCCCAGGAGCCAGCAGATTTATGGACTGAAACCTCTACAAACCCTTCTTTTAACTGGCGCCTATCAGGTATTCTGTCTCAGCAGTAAGAAAGTAACTAAAACAGAGTTTCTCTCGCCCCTCTGCCACTCCCCTATTCATGCCCAGGCTGAGCTCAAACTCCAGGGTGCAAGCAATCGCCCTCTCCCTCTTTCTCGGCCTCAGATTTCTGCCTGCCTCACCGGCCCCCCACTCCCGCAGCTTGGGGCTCAGGGCTCAGGCTCTAGGCTGCTCCTCAGGGCTCCCGCCCGTGGCCACAGCTCCAGTGGCCGCCATCCTGGCCACTCACCAGCGTCCAGAGGACGTAGATGGTGAAGAGAGCGATGGTGAGCGCGATGAGCCCCACGGCCTCCAGTCTGCTGTGCAGCCGGAGGTGGTCCTGGGCCCCCCGCAGGCAGAGCCAGCCCGAGACAGCGGCCAGCGGCGTGATGAACAGGAAGCACACCATGTCGCAGCACAGCGTCCGCTTCTCCGTGCGAGGCCCTGGGTCCCTCAGCCACTGCAGGGGAGCAGAGAGGAGAGGGCAGAGAGGCGAGAGAGGAGCAGCTGAGGGGTGGCAGCGCGCCCCCAGGTCTGGGCCTCCCTCCAGCCCTTCTTGCTTTGGTAGTTCGGTTTTTTTCAGATGGGTCTCACTGTGTAGCCCAGGCTGGCCTCCAGCTGGTAGTGATCCTCCTGCCTCAGCCTCCCGATTGCTGGGATGACATCTGTGTGCCAGCCAGCACTCCTGGCTTAAAAATAGGAAATCTTGGGGCTGGGGATTTAGCTCAGCGGCATAAGCGCCTGCCTTGCAAACAGGCAGTCGTGAGTTCGATCCCTGGTACCAGTAAAAAGGAAAAAGACAAAAAAAAAAAAAAAGGAAATCTTTGTAGAGCCAGCCTGAACCCACAATAGAAGATTCCACACCAGGAAACTCTGTTTCATGCCCAAGCTTATTTGAAACATTGTATAAAATTAACTTCAGGCAAAGTATGTAAGTGTATAAGAAACAGATGCCTTTCCTTCTTAGACTTCAGTCCCATCCTCAGAATAGCTCATTTTATGCATGCAAATATTCCAAAATTTTAAAAATTTCAAAGCCAGGCGTGGTGGGCGATGCTGTAATCCCAGTACTTGAGAGGCTGAAGCAGGAGGTTTTCTGCAAGTTTGAGGTGAACCTGGGCTTCAGGGTGAGTTCTAGGCCAGACTGCTATATATCAAAAGCCTGTTTCAAAAATAACAAAAAAAAAAAGTAAAAAAATAAAAATAAAAAAAGTACAGTCACAAGCGTTTCAAATAAGGGATTTCTCAACCTATAATCTATAAACCAGCCAGAACTAGAACCTTAGAGCCTTGTCTAGGGCTGCAATAGTCTCAGCCTCTACTCAACACTGCCTCCTGTAGATGACAGACTGACAGAGAGGTAATGTTGCTCACCCAATCTCTGTGAAAAGGAAGGGTCACTGCCCACTGCCCACTCTCCCTATCAGGGAGGCACAGAGAGGAGTAAGGATTGATTGGCCCCAGAGAATGGCTGAGCAGAAGAGTTAGGTGCATGGAGGGCAGGGATAGCACTCCAGGCTGCAGGAGCAGCAGGTACAAAGGCCCTGGGGTAGGAAGGGAGGCCTGGACAGGTGCAGCATATAGATCTGGGAAGGAGGTAGAGGGGCTCAGGCAGGCCTAGACCTGGTCCCCACTAGTCTCCTTATAGCCCAGCTCCCTGTGGGCCAGGGCTTTTTGCCCATGCCAGGCAACCAGGGAGGAGCACCCACCCAACAGCCACACTCAAGCTGAAGTCTAAATGCCTGGGCTGGCCCATGGGCATTTCAAATTTGACCCTCTCCAGCCACCTGGGCTTCATCAAAACACCAGACTGGCTGGGTGTAGCAGCACACACCTGTAGTCCCAGCACTCTGGGAGGCTGAGGCAGGAGGATCACAAGTTTGAGCCCAGCTTGGGCAGCTTCTTTCTCTAGCACTCACTGCTTCAGTGATTTCCTAGATGTGTATTTTGGGGAGCCAGGGCCCCTGAGCCGGGCACAACACAGGGCACCTGGAGAGGTCCAAGAAGTACTTCTGAGGGAGACAGTGATTTTATTTTCCAGCGCTGGGGATGGAACCAAGGGCCTCGTACGCTGCTGCACACTACCCTTGTCTTTCCTCTCTGTTCTGAGGCAGTGACTTGCCAAGCCACTTGTGATCCTCCTGCCTCACCCTCCCAGATGCATGCGAGGAGATGATGAATCTGAACAGGGAAGCAGAGGCTGCCCCAGGAATGAGAGAGAGGTGACCCAGAGGGTGGTTCTGTCTGCACCTGCCTCGTGCCCCCGCCCGCCTCTTTCAGGGTTCTCACAGTACCTCTGTGAGAGGCCGGGGCCGCTTTTCCACCGCGAACTCCGTGTGGCACAGCTCGCAGTAGCTGGTGTTGGATGAGGACAGCCACTTCTCCAGGCAGCTCTTGTGCACAGCACCCAGCGTGCCGGTACAGCCACACGGAGACAGCAGACTCTCCCCATTGGCACCCTCGTGGCAGATCCGGCAGAAAGGACAGTCGCTAGACACAGGGAGAAGACTTGTAAGCAGTGACTGAGCTTCCAGTTTCACTGCTCCCATGTGGGCAAACTCCTAGTCATCCTTCAAAGCCCAGCTTTAAATGTCCTCTCCTTTGGGAAGTCTCCTTGGACTCCCACAGTGGGGATGCAGTGCTCCTTCTCCAGACCTCCTGTGGTGTTGGAGACCACTCTACTCATTTTATTTAAGCCTTTGCTCTACACTCATTTGGGAGATTGGGGATCTAGGTCAGGACCCGATAACTGGTACCTAAAACAGGGACCTAAAGTCCTTGGACTACAAATTTTAGCCTGAATGAGTAAGTCCACCCAGAGTGGAAGGTTTGGTTATGGAGGAGGCCTTCACAGTACGAAAACTTCGCCGGGGATGCCTGGAGAGAAGACAGGGAAGAAAAAGGGTGAGTCTTCCCATTGTGAGAAGCTGTTTTATCTGGGAGTAAAACATGGGGCAGAAGGTTTCAGCAAAGGTATTTACAGCTGCTCCACAGCCTGCTCAAATGCTCAGGGGCTCGTGTGCCAAAGAAAGGCTTAACAACAATGTTAAAAGAGGTAACCAAATATAACCCATGGTTTCCGCAAACAGGCACTACAGAAATTGATACTTGTGAAAGAGTTGGAATAAATCTTAAAAAGGCACACAGGGCAGGACAAATCATGTCCCCTGAGATGTTCTCAACTTGGAATCTGGTCTGTTCAGTTTTAAGTCTGTTAAAGAGCTCACAGTTAATAGTCTCTGATTCGGACACCGAAGGAAGAGAGCTCCCTGCAGAGGTGCCTGCCACCAAAACAAAATCCCTAGAGGGATCACCCAGCAGGGGCCGGAGCCTTTACAAAAAGTATCTCATAGGGTCTATCCAGAAACTTACAGGTAGTGGGGAAGAGGTATCTGCATGGGGAGCAAATAACACCCTCCCTGCTTGCTTCCCAGTTGGAGTTGAAAGATGCTAATGACAGTATTTTGTTGATGTGCCTTTTGAAATACAACTGCTAAAAAATATTAAGCAAAGTGTAATTAACAGTGGAATCCAAAGTCCATTTACTGTGGGGCTCTTGCAAAATGTTTTGGATACATATCAATTGACATGATATCAAACATTTGGCACAAACATGCCTGTCTCCTGCTCAATTTCTGCATTTTGATGTAAAGCTAAAAACTCTTGTTTTGGAGCAGGCTCATAAAAACAGGACGGGTCCCAATCCATGTCCAGCAATAAATAAGGAAATGCTTTCTGGGACAGGCAGGAACAGATTCAGTGTCCTAACGAGCTATTTCCACAATTGGCAGATCTAGTAAAAAAAGCATGGACAACTGTTCCAGAGGATGGGGCTCCAGTGATGTCCTTCTTACATATTCTGCAAGGACCCCAGGAACCGTTTTCTCAATTTGTGGCAAAGTTACAAGAAGCCATTCACAGACAGGTATCAAACACAGAAGCTGTGAACATTCTAACTTTAAAATTAGCGTATGAAAATGCTAATCAGGATTGTAAACAGGCTTTAAATCCTGCAAAGTCAACCAATGACTTAACAACATACATTCGAGCATGTCGACATCGGAACTGAGTCTTATAAGACAACTACGATGGCTCAAGTTATGGCTGGTCTTGCAAATGCAAAGAGGAGTAATGTAAGATGTTTTAATTGTATAAAAATGGGACATACTAGAAAAGATTGCAGAATTCTTGTTAGATCTGATAGGACAGACGCTGCAGCTGCAGCACGGCAGGAGGAAAGTGCTGCTGGCAGACAGGACTCGGGTTCCAAACGCGCTTGGACTCTGTCTGAAATGCCAAAAAGGGAGGCATTGGGCCAAACACTGTCATTCTAAATTCCATAAGGATGGCACACCATTGCCAAAAAATGAGATGAGGGCCTTTCCTCAGGTCGACAGAACAACAGAAGAGGCATGGTCTGTGAGTCAAAACCTCAGTCAACATTACCCAGGGAAAACTCACCAGCAAATTCAAGAACAACATCAAATGTGGCTCCCCAGAAAGATGTTAACTCACTCACCAGGGGTACCAGCCAGAGCATGGGATGAGACCTCTGCCACTTGCAGAGTCACTCTTACTGGAGGCAAGCCCACCCCATTTCCCATAAGAATTTGTAGTCTCCCACCTGAAGGAACAGTTGTTCGTCTTGTGCTAGGAAAGGCTGATCTAAATTTAAAAGGAATAACTGTTGTGCCTAGTGTGATTGATGGTGATTGTAGAGATGGAATACAAGTTCTTGCATGTGCTATGGACATCTGGGTTTTTGAACAGGGAGACTACGTGGCACAGTTGATCTTGTTACCTATAGAGAAGCCTTCTTTTGTTAAGTATAGACAGCTCAGGAGGGAGCAAGACCCTCAGAGCAAAACTACAAAAAGAGAAATTTATTTTACACAGGAAAGGACTAAAAACAGGCCTATATGTTTTATAAGGATTAATGGGAAATACTTTGAAGGTCTGATAGACACTGGTGCAGATGTGTCTGTGATTGCATTAGAACAATGGCCTGCCAGTGGCTAACACAAAGGGCCCCTACATCCCTTATCAGACTAGAGACCCCTCAGCATGTGTTACAGGGTGCCTCACCTTTGCCTTATGAGGAACCAGACTAACAAAAGGGTTTCTTTTTACCTTATGTGGCACCTATTCCAGTTAACTTGTGGAGAAAAGATTTGTTACAAAAGTGCAAATTAATGCTGACTAGCGATTCTGATTTTAAAGCTAAACAAACAAGTTCCAATTTGGAAACCAAACAAATAGATTCAGATCCTAAAATTAAGAAAATGATTAAAATGGAGTATTAGAAAGGCAAAGGACTGCCAGGCGTGGTGGCTCACGCCTGCAATCCCAGCACTTGGGAGGCTGAGGCAGGAGGATCATTACAAATTCAAGACCAGCCTCGGCTACAAAGTGAGCTCAAGGCCAGCCTGAACTGCACAGAGAGACCCTGTGTCAAAAAGACACACACACACACACACACACACACACACAAGACTTAGGACTAGGAAAAAAACTTACGGGGAATCAAAGAGCCTGTTAAAATTACACGTAAAAATGATAGGCAGGTATTGGATATCAGCAGGTTTTTGACAAAGGCCATTGATGCTTCTCCCCCAAACAGCTGTTTTTACAATGAAAAACTAAGGAACTTGTTTGGGTAGATCAATGTCCCCTTAAAAAGGAGAAGCTAACTCAATTACACAAATTAGTTGAAGAGCAATTGCAGCTAGGATATTTAGAAAACTCAGCCCTTGGAATACTCCTTACCTTGTTATTCCAAAGAAGTTAGGCAAATGGCGGTTGTTACAGGATTTAAGAGCCGTACTTCCTATGCTTACTTCCTATGGGGGCGCTGCAGGCAGGACTGCCAGATCCAACTGCAGTTCCTAGAGACCGGCCTCTCATCGTAATTGATTTAAAAGACTGCTTTTTAACATCCCTGTTTTTCCCACAGATAGACTTTATTTTGCCTTTTCCATGCTTAGTTTAAACTTTAAAGGATTAATACATCTAATAATGCGGAAGCGAGGTTATGCTTATGTCTTAACAGGTGAAAGATCCACAAGAAATACACAGCACTGGTGGGAGACACAACCAGTGCTAGAGACAGCCTTATGTGATGGCTCTGACAACCTGGGCCCAGAGAGACTTGACAGCCAGAAAACTGGCCGCCAGATCCCCCGAGAGACCAGGAGAAAGGACAAGTGATCCAGTGGAGTGGCATCCAAGCAACCATTCATGAAGCTGGAGACAGAGTCACCAGAAGGGGGATTCCATCAACCCCTAAAAATCTTTTGGTTGCCTTAATGGTTCTGCTGGCAGTAGCTGTATTTATGACACCTGACTCAGGAGTAATGGGTTTATGTCCCTGATCCACGTGTTGTTACAAAAACAAAAAGGAGATGTTGGAGATCCCTGTGAAGTAGCTCTGAGCAGGATTTAAAATTAACTAATTGGCTTTCTGTGTTTATCTGTGAGTCTGTCCTAGGCTTTGGCCCCTGGCCTGGAGACGGGAGCTGATTCATAGTAAGTGAACCTCTGTGAATCACTCGCCCTGGCTGAGGCCTGTAGTGGCCTGTGAGCCCAGAGATACCTCAAAGGGCAACATAAGGCCACAGCTGCGGACACTTGGCTCCAACCCCAATTAACACGGTAGAGACTGCAGCTGCAAAGTTTACTCCTACGTCTCACTTCTACTGTGTCTTCATGATAAGACAGTGCTACTAAATTGACCTGATTCATTACTTGAAGACGTCCTTGAAGTGACTCCCAAGGTCCTGCTCATTGCCTGTGCTTTCCTCAGTTTCCCTGTCTTTGTTGTTGGGCCTCATAAATAAAGAGGGAGGTCCAGAGAAGTCTCTGTCTTAGCCCTCAGAGTCTCAAGCTCAGCTAAAGGGTTTTGACCTTCCTGGAGCCCTAAAATCATACCACTTGACTCATTTTATTTAAGCCTTCGCTGTACACTCGTTTGGGAGATCGGGGATCTAGATCAGGACCCGATACTGTGGCATCATTTTAAGCTCTGGGTGAGCCTTGTGTACCTGCCCAGCCAGTGTCCTTTCCCTCTTTCCCTATAGCACTGCCTACCCTGGGCAACCAGCCAATCTCAATTCTTGCTCTGCAGGACAAATGCAGGGTTGGTGACAGTTGGGTGACCCTAAGCCTAATCAATAGAACACACATTCCACATGGTGGCAATCAAATCAGCGGAGGGCTTCTGGACACAGATCTACTGAGAAGACATTGATTTTATTTTTCTTGTTCTTCATATTTTTTATCTTTTTTTAGACAGGGTCTCACTATGTACCCCAAACTGGCCTCAAATTCACAAGGATCCTCCTGCCTCAGCCTCCCAAATGCTGAAATTATGGGCGTGCACCACCACCCCCAGCTTCTTCTCCCTCTCCCTCTCTTTCCCCTTTCCTTCTCCTTCTTCTTCCTATGTGTGTGTTTTGTGTCTTGAGACAGTGTTTCACTATGCAGCCCAGGTTGGCTTTTGAACTCACACAGATCCTCCTTCCTCAGTCTCCCCAACACTGGGATTAAAGACATACACCAGCACCAATTTCTGAAATTCTTTTTTTCCCCCTAAGTATGGAGAAAGAGAGGCTGAGAGTTTAGCTCAGAGCTGCTGAGAGCCACGTGGCTCTGCCTCAAGCCTCTGAGTGCCTCCAGCAGAGCAAAGCCAGGCCAGGGGACAGAGAAAGGCAGATTCCTCAGGCAGGCCCAGCATCTTGCATTGAGTCCCTCCCAAAGAAATCTGGGCTCCAAAGCATGATTTGCCTGTTTCTCCACCCTGTGAGGGAAAAACAGACAGAATAATCATCCCTGGAGCTGCCCAGCCGCACCGGGAAGGAAGACTCAGCCTGGCGGGCCAGGGACCTCACTGGTCCCGAGGTGGAGGGAGGTGGGAGGTGTGGCCTGCACTGCCCTGAGTCACTGTTTTCCAAACACTGATGCTCCCAGCAGAGCTGTCGGGAGTTCAGAGGAAGCTGCTTTACAGATAGTGTGTTCTTTTCCCCTGGAAACTGTTTCCTCTTTCTCAGGCCTTTTGGCTACAGGGTGGGGCCTGGCTGCTCCAGAGGGAGCCCTAGGGTCCACGAAGGCTTGCACTGGGCCCCGGGATCTCCTCCCCTCCGCTCTGCTTACCTCCAGCTCTGCTTGGGGTAACTGTGTAAGGAATGTGGGTGAGTTTGTCCGGGCTCACAGGGAGCCCCTGGGAAAGATGCTCAATTGGCTCCCACTTTCCAGAGAATGAGACAGAGGCAGAGAGGAATCTGGGCCCCTCTGAGCACGTCTGCACACCCGAGAGCCTGCAGAACCAGAATGAGAACCCAGCAAGGGGTAGGAGTGTTGGCACAGGCTTGTTATCCCAGCACTCAAGAGGCTGAGGCAGGAGAATCGCCACAAGCTCAAAGCCTGCCTGGGCTACACAGTGAGTTCAAAGCTAGCCTGGACTGCGTAGTGTGACCCTATCTCTAAACAAAACATCTTTTTTTATAATGAAACCCAGGAAGTCTCACAGGGAGCCTGCGCACCCCCAGCTGCTACTCTACTTCCTCACCAGATGATGAGCCGCACGGATGGGTCGTGCTCCAGAAATTGGACAGTGAAATCACACCAAGGACCCACAGGAGGAGGAGGAGGAAGTGCCAGCAGCAGGAGGCAGGGCTGTGCCCAGAGCTCAAGGAGCAGGAAAAGAATGCCAAGCCAGGAAAGAAACCGACCTCTAGGAGGAGAGGGCATCGGGAAAGGCCAGGTGTAATGGCAACAGCTTTGAGGAGCAGAGGGCTCAGGATGGGGCAGGTGGGGCTCCCAAGGCCCAGCTGGCCTGGCAGATCCTCCTGGCTTAACTCGTTGGCACTGGAGATTGAACCCAGGCCTTTGCACCTCCACAGGCACCTGAGACCGGACCCCTCTGCCCCTCCTCGTCTCTACCATGAGCCCCAAGGAATGAGAGGAAAATGTTAGGCCTGATTTGCCATGTTTTGTTTTTTGAAGATATTCTTACTGTGTAGCCCAGTCCAGCCTTGAACTTGCAGGATCCTCCTGCCTCAGCCTCCCAGGTGTTGGGATGACAGGTGTGTGCTGCCATGGCTAGCTCCTCACACTGAGTTTTCGGCATGGGCACCCCCCCCCGCCCCCGAGTTAAGATGGTTAGACCAGTCACTTTCTTTTTTTTTTTTTTTGCTCTAGAACTCCAGTTGGATTAGATCAGTCACTTTCAAGTCCATCATGGTAATTCACAAAAGACAAAACACTCAGTACAAAGCATGGTTCCAATTTTGAGTTTGGCTCTTTCCTTGGGTACTTCTTGGAATGCTGGGTAGGGGGTGACCCAGACCCGGCCTCACCAAGCCTGGGGTGAACAACCAGGACTCCGCAGTGTCCTTTCTGTGCTGCTAAACCATGCTATTCAGCACATTAAGTCTATCAGTGGATTTTCTTCCCATCATTTTCTTTCTGGGGTCCTGAGGATTGAACCCAGGGCCTCCTGGGTGCTAGACAAGAATCTTACCACTGAGCTATGTGATCAGCTCTTTTTATTTTTCTTATTTTGAGACATGGTCTCACTAAGTTTCTCAGGAAAGTCTCAAATCTATGATCCTCCTGCCTCAGCCTCCTGAGTAGCTGGGATTACAGGCACCACCAGACCCAGTTTTGATGTGTTTTCAGTCAATGATGACTTGCAAAGACCCATTATCAATCGAGGAACAGACAGACATTTATCGAATGCTTGAGGGGTGGCCATCCCTCCTTTCCCGGGACCGGATAGTCATTTTCTCAGAACAACTCGATCAGGAAGATGCCCCAGGTTTAGAGATAGGGCTGGTGAGGTAACTTCCCTGGGTCACTCAGAGAGGAAGGGAGCCACCCACTGGGGAACTGAGCCGGGTGCCTGGACACACACAACCTGTGCTCTTATCTGCTTCGGATACGGGTGTGCACCTGTCATCCTGGCACTCTTAAAGGCTGAGGCAGGAGGATCACAACTCAAACCTACGTTGGGCGACTTAGTGACTTAATGAGACTCTGTCTTAAAAAACAAAAATCCTCTCCACAGTGTGAGTTACCAGCCAGCATGTGACTTCTGGACTTTGCATAGCCGGAATCTGGGCTTTGCCTAAAGAATCAGTCCTGGTACACTGGGCACTTTGTTTCTGCATGGCTTGTTCACCTAGCCAGCCAGCCGGCCTCCCTCAGTGCTTGGACTTCTGACCCCAGACCTGGAAGTCATTTAGCCCAGAGGGAGAAAGGGACAAAGTCTGGGCAGCACAGGGCCCTCACTTACCCTGGTGTGTCCAAGGCCCGGATGACGGTGGAGAGCAGTCGGCCATCCCTGGAAGTCACCTGTGCCACATACTGTGGGGGCCCGAGGCCTGTGGCCTCTGCGATCTTGGAGAAGGCAGGGCTGCCTGAGCAGTCACACAGGGAGCCGGGGAGGTGGCAGCAGTCGCCTGTCGTCATGGCCACAGGGAGCCCTGTGTCCTCAGGGCCTAAGGCCCATGGTCCCAGGAGCCTGGAGAGATGAAGGGGACAGTCAGGGAGCCCTGGGGACGAGGGCTCCTCCCCTCTCCCCAGGGCTCCAGGGACCGCAGGCAAGGATGTGTCTCATGGAGCCTCTGTTTACCAGATCTGCAAAATGGAGCCTCTGTTTACCAGATCTTGCTTGTGGGGGCATGCATGCACCTCAGCCCACGTCTGGCAGACTGTACAGGCTCAGGGTTATGCTATCTCCTGCTCTTCTGAGAAAAGCCAGTCAATTCAGAGGCCTCCTGTAGACCCAGCTACTGGGGTAGGGGGCGAGAGCTAGCCAGGACTGTTGAGAGTTCAAGGCAGACCTGGGAAACTTAATGAGGACTTGTTGCCAGTAAATAAATAAATAATAAATTTTTAAAAGAAGGATAAGAAGCTGGGTGTGGTAGGTGCATGCCTGTCATCCCAACACTCGGGAAGCTGAAGCAGAAGGATCACCAGGAATTCAAGGAGAACCTGGCCTACACAGTGAGGCCTTTTCTCAAAAAACAAGAGAGACAGAGAGAAAGAAAGAGAGCAAGAGGGCGGTCACACAAACCCAGCTCTCACCTTCCTCATCATCTTTCCAGACACAGGAAGAACAGCTGGCAGCTACTGAGCACCTACCATGTTCCAGGCCCCGTGTCTGGCTCCATCCAGGGCCAGGACCATGCAGTGCCCGATCAGGATGCCTGGGTTGGGTTCAGAGCAAAGGAGGCTGCCTTGACCTCATAGGCCGGAACAGTGAGTGAGTCACTCGGACCCTCCTGCTCCACAGCCTCCTATCGGGCTGTGCACTCTGAAACTTCAGGCAGTCGGGGAAGTGACCCCAGTCAGGGAGACAGCTCCGAGCTGTGACTCGGTCCCCGTGGCGAGGTTCCAGAGAAACAGCTGGAGTCTTAGGTAGCCATTCGAGGGCTGGGCTCCTGCAGCAGGATTCTGTCCTCTGCCTGGGGTCTGCTCAGTAAAAAGGGGCCCAGCTGGTCTCCGGCTCTGCCCCAGAGGCAGCCAGCAGGTCCTACTCACTCTGCACATTTCCCTCAGAGAATTCCTTGAAAGCAACAGAGGCCTCTCTGGCAAAGATGCCCTGGAGTCAAGGATCTCTGCCCTCAACTTGTCCAAACCCATGGGCCTTTGTTCCCCCAAAAACTAGAGTCCAGAGCCTGCAACAACTCCCAGTAAGGGGTAGTCAGGCACTCACCTGAAGTGTCCTTTTCCAAGTCAGCTTTTGTTTTGGCTTGTTTTTTTTTTTTTGAGACAGGGTCTTGTTGTGTAGGTCAGGCTGCCCTTGAACTCCCTAGGTAGCCTGGGCTGCCCTTGAACTGGTGGCAATCCTCCTGCCTCAGCCTGTGGAGCATGTGCCAGCATATGACACCACACCCAGCTCTCCAAGTCAGTTTTTAACCAAACCCTGCCAGTCAAAATCTGAAACCCAAAGAGACAGGGACAAATGCAGCATGAATTGTGGATTGACTTTTTGCATGGGGCAACGTGCCAATAGATCACTGTGGTCTGAACAGCTCAGCCAGACACCCTACATGCCCTGCTGGGCCTCCCCATTGGGCCACTGGAGGTCAGATAAGCAGGTATCAGCCCAAGGCAGGAGGAGTCCAGAGGAAGGCTGAATGCCTGAGATAACATCCAGTGGGCAGTGGCCAGGCCTGCAGCCTTGTGAGTGCTACTGCCTGTTCTAAGCACTTGCAACTGCAACTAGAACTTCCAGCTCAGAAGTCAGCAAGGAAGCCTCTGACCCAACTGCATGCAGAAGGAGGTCCAAGCATTAGCCTCAGCCTTAAGCTTTCTTTCTTTCTTTTTGGTACCAGGATCGAACTCACAACCTCACACTTGCCAGGCAGGCACTTAAGTCACTGAGCTAAATCCCCAGCCCAGCCTTAGCCTTTCTGCAAACAATCAGGCATCACCAGAATCACCTCAGCCCCTGTACATTAAGTACTAGGTGGGTGGGGCTGCTGGGAAATCTGCTAATGCCAGGCATGCACATCACTAACACAGTAACAGCAGCTAAGGTTTATTAAGGACTGAGACAGTGCCAAGCAATCTGCCTACGTGTGAATCATCTCATAGAACCCAGTTGTTGTAAGTGTCCCCTTCAAAGGTCACCTCCAGGGAGAATCCTTCCCTAGTCACTCTGGTTAGAATGCTGTTCCTGTCCACATAACTCTGAAACGCTATGTTTGTTTTTGTTCGGCCACCTCTGTCTTCAGGATGCTCGTGAATTCTGGGAGGGAGGAACACAGTCACGCGTGCTCAGTGCTGTCCCCGGCACCCAGCCTGTGTCTGAAACAGTGTCTGTAGTCTGTGTTACTGCCTTCATTTCTCAGCCCCGATTCTGCGTGAGAACAGACTTGGTGAACCAGATCTCCTGACCCTCATACCCCAGCCTGGCCGCTCCCCGGGGCAGGAATCAGAGAAGCTGAGAGGCTACAAAGTCCACTTATATCACACAGACCCAGGTTAGTAAGAAGCCACACTTGGAACTGGACACAAGATAGGGAAGCTACAGACGGGACTTAAACTCTGGGCTGCCGGGGCAATGACGGCCCGGGGCCCAGAAGCTGGATGACATTGAGTCTGTAAAACAAACATCTCAGCCCAATCATCACTCCTGTTTGACCTGTGAGGAGGCCAAATTTCAGAGACAGACATCTACTTGCCCCAGGTCACCCAGCCAAGAAGCGATGGTGCCAGGATTTGAACTTACACAGACTAGTAAACTGATCCTGGGCTCTGGAAACCTAAGTTCCAGTCCCAGCCCTGTCACTGAGACTGTGTGTCCTGGCTCAAGTTACTTTGCTTCTCTGAACCTCAACATTTCATGTGTCAAACGTGCTAGCAGGCTGACTGCTGGGTACCCCTCTGTCTTTTCCATACCCCCCCAGGAAGGGACACTAAAGAAGACTGAGGACTCTAAGTCCCACATGGTCATCTTAGTCAGCTGCTTCACCTCCAGCCTCAGTGTTCTCATCCATAAGATGGGAGTCATGATACCCAAGTCATACATTGGTAAACATTTTTTAAAAGCAGTAAATATCAGCTCCTACTGTACATATCAGCAGCAGCCTGCAGAGTGGATGGTTGGCTATTCAATCTGTACCTAGAAACCAGGAGTTGCTCAGTTAATCCTTCCTGTTATTATTTAAGATAAAAGTGTAGCCTGTCACACGCATTCACTCCTGCCAGATATGGTGGCACCCACCTGTCACCCTAGTACTTGGGAGGCTGAGGCAGAAGGATCAAGTGAGTTGGAGGCCATAAACTGCATATCGAACTCAAGACTGGACTGAACTATACAGTGAGACCTTATCTCAAAACAAACAAACAGCCAGGGATAGAGCTCAGTGGCACAAGCGCCTGCTGGGCAAGCATGAGGTCCTGAGTTTGATCCCTGGTACCAAAACACAAACAAACAAACAAAAATGCATCCACAACCCTTCATTCATCCCAGAGAGACTGCTATGTGCTTTTCAGTATTTCCAAGATCCCGCATCAGAACCCTGGGTCGAATTCCAGCTCTCTTCATTTGCTATGTGGCCCTGAGCAGATTTGACTCCTGTGAGCTGTGACCTCCTCCTGTCTGACGGGAACCATTTTTGTACTTTTTTCTTCTAGTTGAGTCCCAGAGGCAGAAGGAAGGGGCTAAACATAAAGAATTCTGTTTTGAGCACCGTCGCAGCCCAGAGCACTGTTGTGGTCGCTGTGTGCAGTTCCTGGCTGGGGATAATACGATATTTACTGTTTTTCAGGCAGGGAAGGAGGACAGGGAGGGATGTGAGTCACTCATTGACAGCCTACTGTGTGTGACAGGCGCTGTCCTCTTTGGCCACCTCGGGGATCGGCTTGGCGCTGGGGTGACCCAGTTTCACAGATGGGGAAACCGAGGCTCAGAGAGGCGCCTGCTGGGTGCCGCGGCCCCCAGACCACCCGTTGCCCTCGAGGCGGACACTGAGGTCCCCGCGGCCGCAGGAAGGCTGTCCCGCCCGGGGCCGAATCGGGCCTCGAACGCGGGATCGGGACCCACCTGCGTCCTCCAGCCCTAACCGTCGTCTCGCGCCTACCTGATCCGCGGCCGGGCCGGGCGGCCGCGCAGGCCCCACCGTTCGCCCTGGCCCGGGTCCCGGCCCGGCCCGGCCCGTCAGCGCTGCTCGCTTCGCTCGGGCTGGCACCTGCGTCCGGGCACCGCCCGCCGAGACGACAGCGCCACGGACCAATAATGACCGCCTTTTTCCAGCACTGGCCAATCGGCATGCAAATCCCGCCCTAATAGGCGTGGCCAGAGGCGACGGGGACGTCCTGGGCGGTACAGGACCCGCAGCGCCGCAGCTCTTGGCTCCGCCCCTACAGCGCACTGGCTCCACCTCTAGATCTGCTCCGCCCCCACCCCAACGGGGCTTCTTTGAAGCCAGTTGCCCCACCTGCAGAAAGCTGGTAGGACTTTTAAGTAAATAAAACCTTCACGGAATTCAATTGGACACTTGCCAAGTATTTTGTAAGTGTTCATCACCTCTCTCGCGTTTCTTACTTATTACTCTTGACTAGGGGGTAGCGGGGAGGGAGATCGTCTGGCCACTTTTCACAGGAGATGGTGGAGATGGGATAGAAAATTGCCTGGGACCCTGTAACCCCTCCTACCCTGCACTGGTTCAATTCTGTTGTGTTGTAGCAGCTTGTGTTTGTAAATGGAAAGATAAGTCATAACGTTTTATGGAGATTAATCATGGATCATGAAAGCTGCCAGAAACAAAATAGAGTCACTTTTGTGACTAAAAACAGCAGGAGTAAAAAAATAAACCATAAACTGTCACAAAAGCCTCAGAAAGACATTGCCATCTCATGCAAAAGTACTTGTGCAAGGTCTCAGCCCCCAAATCCTCTGTGTGGTCTTGGGCTTACACCACTGGAGTTATAATCCTTGTAGTCATAGATAACTGTTTCAAAACAACTTACATAATTCTCATTTTGACTTTGAAACCTTCTCTTCTGTCAAGCCCTTTGAAAACACACATCTGCAGTGGCATGTGCATTCTCTTTGCAATGCTACTTCTGAAAAAAATTTTTTGCAGTGGTGAGGATCAAATCATTGGTCTTGTACATGCTGGATAAGTGCTCTACCATTGGACTACATTCCCAGTCCTTCTTTAATTTTGATTTTTTAAATTTTGAGAGAGTGTTGCTAAGTAGGCAAATTCTTCAAACTGGGTTTGAACTTGCAATCCTCCTGCCTCAGCCTCCCAGAGTGCTAGGATTACAGGTATGTGCCCCTATACCTGGCTAATTTGTTTTTTGTTTGTTTTGGTACCAGGAATCAAACTCATGACTTCATGCGTGCCAGGCACACACTTGTGCCTCTGAGCTAAATCCCCAGTCCGATAATAATTTTTGTGTGTGTGGTATTAGGGGTGATCTCAGGCCTTATGCATTCCCAGGCAAGCATTCTACCACTGAGCTACATCCTCAGGGTAGTTTGGTTTTAAAATGTTATTTGGGCTAGGTGTGGTAGCTCACGCCTGTAATCCCACCACTCCAGAAGCTGAGCTAGAAGAATCCTTGAGAGTTTGAGACCAGTCTAGGTTACAAGGTGAGCTCAAGACCAGCCTGAACTGTGTAGTGAGACCCTGTCTCAAAAAGACCAAAAAAAAAAAAACAAAAACAAAACAAAAAAAAAAACCCTTCAAAATCAAAAAACGAATATACAGCCAATATTATCATGAGACTACCAAATTCCATTAAGTTTCCCATGAAGTTGTTTAAAGGTCTGAAATATGTCTTTAATTCGTATGTCATATTTTGCTTTTATTCCTCTAATTTAGTCTGCTTCTCTCTGGCACAGTTCCTGAATCTTTCATACCCTGCATGATCTTGATACTCCTGAGTATTACATACTAGTGATTTTGTAGAAAGTTCTCCTTCTTGAATTCACCTAAGCTTTCCTCAGGAGTACACATTTATGGCAAGAAACACAGCAGTTATATTTGTTCTTAGGATGCATATGATGTGAATCTTTTCATTCCTGGTTATATTATCTTGGTTGAAATGATATCTGCCAGTTTGTCCAGCATGGATTAGTGTGTCAAACCTGTCAATAAGTGCTTTCTGAGACGATATTTTGAAACTAAATAAATATCCTACTTTTCAACACATATTTGTCCGCCAATTTAATGTGCCTGAAGAAACCATTATTGTGATCACTGCTAATGAATGACTGTCCAATTGCATCTTCAGATATGTCCTTTACTTACCAACTCTGGGTTGACTTATCTTGCCTTTTCCCTGGCCCTGCCTGGAAATCAAGCACTTCTCCAAGAATGCCTGGTTCCTTTTGGTAGAGAATGATATTTAAAAATCAAGCTCTGGGAGTTAAATGTGTTCCTTGCCACTATGGTATCACTAATTCTTGGCTTTCTCATCGCCATACATATGCATGCATGTACCTAAATAAAGGCATTTACATATCTATCCAGTCACTCACCCACTGCCTTTAGTTTATTTTATTTTTGTAGTGCTGGGGATTGAATCCAGGGCCTTGCACCTGCTAGGCAAGTACTCAATCCCTGAGCTACATATCTAACCCTACCCCCCGTCATTAAAACCATAAATGAACATCAATAATCCTAATCCAAATCCAACACCAAAGCTTCTCCCGTGCCTGCGCCTGACTTCTTTCTCATTTCCTTCTCCCACTGTCAGAAAACCAGGCTCCCACTGTCCTCCATAGATTTACTAATTTGTCCAACTCATTTGAAACCAAACTTGCAGATGCACTGGCTGCCTTCATCCACTTTCTGTTGCCATCACCAAGTACCTGAGGCCAGGCAACTTGAAAGGAGAGAGGTTTATTTGGCTCATAGTTCTGGAGGTGGGGAGGTCCACAGTGTGGCATGGTCTCCACTGGCTGCCTCATATGCTGATGGAGGGCATCATATGGTGAGTCAGCAGCTGTGCTAGCTCAGGTCTCTCTTCCTCCTTTACCAAGCCACCCTGAGACCCCACCCTGCTGACCTAGTCTCATCCCAGTCACCTCCCAAACCATTCACAGCGACTCTGGGGGTTAAAGTTGCAACTCCTGAGTTCCAGGTGACGCGTCCATTTTAGGGCGGCCAGGACTTGCTGCAGATGTACTGCCTCCAAGCCCACTCGGGTCCCCAGCTGGACACACTGGTGGAAAGCTTGATGCAACGCAGGAGCTAAACCCATGCACATGAGGGAAAAAATCCCAACACATCACTTCTGAAAGCCATTTGGGAACCAACTTAAAGTCTTCAAAATTGATGTGTGCCAGTTAATCTTAGTTGCTAACTTGATGGGATCATGGGACTTCTGGAGAGGTGAGCAGACTGGAAAGGCTCTAACATCAATGATTAACCTGCTGACCAGCTCCAAGCTAAATGAGCTCGTGGTACACCGGCCTAGTTGAAGGAATGGGTCACGCGGAGTAAGCCTTGGGGATTATCTCTGTGTGTCTCCTTTCTCTCTGGATTTTTCACTGTGCCATGCTTCGTGCCTCATGTGAGGAGAACAGTTCTCCTCCCCTAAGCTCTTCTGCCATAATTTTTCTTCCCTGGAGCCTCCCATGCACTGAACCCTCCGAAACCATCAGTCAACATAAACCTGTCTTAATTTTCAGGTGTCAGGATTTTTTTTTTGGTCCCACCAATAGGAAAATTTACTAATCCAATGAGCAGAGTAAAAATTAAAGCCTAGGATAATGGCATATGTCTGTAATCCTACTACTAGGAAGCCTGAAGCATTAGGAGGGTCACGAGTAGCCGGACATAGTGGCAGATTCCTGTAATCCCTGCACTCAGGACTCTGAAGCAGGAAGATCAGTGCGAGTTAAAGCCAGCGTGGGCTGCATAGTGAATACAGGACCAGCCTGAACTACGTTGTGAGACTCTGTCTCAAAAGGAAAAACAAACACAAAAAGAAGGGTCACATGCTTGAGTACCATCTCAGCAACTTAATGGGACCCTGTGTCAAAGTGAAAAATTCTAAAAGGGAAGGGATGTAGCTCAGGGGTCCAGCACACCTGGGTCCTTTCCCCAGTTCTTTAAAAAAAGAAGGAAAAAGGAGGAGGAGGAGGAAAAGAAGAGGAGGAGGAAGCAAGGGGAAGAGAAGGAGAAGACAAATGAAAATTAAGTTTGTGGACTCCTACAGGCCGTACCTCAAGCTTACCACACAGTTTAAATTTGGGTGATATAGCAATTCAGTGGGATCCCATCTCACAAAATAAAAATAGCCAGGCATGGTGGTACATGCCTTTGATCCCAGCACTTGGGAGGCTGAGGCAGGAAGATCACTGAGAGTCTGAGGCCAGCCTGGGCTACACAACAAGACCTTGTCTCAGACAAACAAACACACACACACACATAATAAAATAAAAAGGGCTAAGCTTGTGGGGATGCAGCTCAGCGCAAGGACTCTGCATTTCAATCCCCAGAAAGAAAAGAAAAGAATTCCAGAAAGAAACAGAGGAGCTGGGGATTTAATGCAGTGGCATAAGCACCTGCCTGGTAAAGACAAATGAGGAATTGCTTAGTTCGTACTAGATTTCTTTCCTTTTTGGCTTTTGATTTATTTGTTTGGTTTTTAGAGACAGGGTCTCAGTACGTAGTGCAGGCTGGCCTTGGACTCACTATGGAGCCCAGGCTGGCCTCGAACTTGCAGAGGTCCCCCTGCCTCAGCCTCCTCAGTGCTGGGATTTCAGGGGTGAACTACCACACGCAGCTATCATTCATTGCTTTAGTTGTGATAGTAGCCTTGAAGTTATGTAACCAAAAAGAAGGCTTTGTGTTGAGAGAAAGACCCTGAAATATCTGTAGGTGGAGAATGTCTGGGATTTGTGAGCAGCACAAGACCACCTAATAAGGACACATTGGTCTGTTGCTGTTGCCATCTCGAGTTCCTTAGACTGGTTTTTTGTTTTGGTTTGCTTGCTTTTGTTTTTTTAATACTAGGAATTGAGCCCAGGGCCTTTGCACTAAGCCACATCCTTAGCCCCCCCCCCCTTTTTTATTTTGTGACTGAGTCTTGCTAAGTGGCTAAATGCCCAGACCATACTGAAACCTGCAATCCTTTTGCCTCAGCCTCCCACAGTACCATCAATCCAGGAAATGCTTACCTAGACACCAGTCCTGGCTGTCTGGTTTTACATATGTTTAAAAGTTTCCATAATAAGAATTTAAAAGTTTTGGATATAGTCATTCCCTCTATATCTGCAGGTTCCAAATCAGTGGATTTAACCAACCCTGGAAGACAAGTATTTGAAATAAAACTGTCTGTACTAAACATACACATATTTTTTCTTATTATTCCCTGAATAATGCAGTGTAACAACTACGCACATCGAATTTCATTATATTAGCTACTGTGAGTCATCTACAGATGATCTGAAAGTCACAGGGGTGCTGGAGATTAGCTCAGTGGCAGAGCACTTGTCTAGTACACTCCAGGCCCTGGGTTCAATTCCTGGCACTGCCAAAAAAAAGTATACAAGTAGCTCTATGCAAATAGTATACTCTTTTAGCCAGGCATGGTGGGACACACCTGTAATCCTAGCACTTGGGAGGCTAAGGCAGGAGGACTGCTGTGAGTTTGACCCAGCCAAGGCTCTGTAGTGGGTTCAAGGTCAGCCTGAACTGCACAGCAACATTGTTTCAAAAATAAATAAATGGATGGTAGACACCTGCAATCCCAGCACTCCAGGATTGTCATGAGTTCCAGTATGAGTTGTCATAGTAGGAGGATTGTCATGAGTTCCAGGCCAGCCTGGGCTATATAATAAGTCCCTGTCTCCAAAAAATTAAAAACTAAGTAAATGGATGGTTGGAGAGACAAATGTGGCAATATTCACATACAGAATGTGATTTCAGCCTCTGTATAAGGATGAGCCCAGGGCCTCCTGCATGCCAGGGAGGTGCTCTTGCCCCTAAGCTAAGCCCAGCCCACATCAATTTGGTATTATGTGTATTCTGTCATCATTATAAAAGACTTAAGAGGGTCGGGGATATAGCTCAGCAGCACGAGTGCCTGCCTGGCAAGTGCAAGGTCCTGAATTTAATTGTCGACACAAAAATAATAGGACCTGGAGCTAGGGATGTAGCCCAGGAGTAAAGCATCTGCCTGACTTGTGTGAGGCCCTGGAGTCCATTTCCTGGGTTGAGAACCAAGGAAACAAACAAACAAACAAAAAACCAGTAGCCTGTTGTGGTGGCTCACGCCTGTAATCCCAGCACTCAGGAGGTTGAGGCAGGAGGATCTTGAGAGTTCGAGACTAGCTTTGGCTACAAAGTGAGCTCAAGGCCTGCCTGAACTGCATAGCGAGATTAGACCCCATCTCAAAAAGACAAACAAAACAAAACAAAACCAAGCCCGCCCTGGCTGCAGCCAAGTTTATGAAGCCACTTAGCGTAATTCTCACAGCCCCTCCCCACCCCCCCCTCCCCCGGCCTGCAACTCCCCAGGGAACAGGAAGCCGGCCAGTCCCTCCCCTGGACCTGGCAGATGTAGGGGCTACAGGAACATCTGAGGGTCTTGTTGACTGTCCGAAACCTTCCAGGGATCCCACTGTCCCACCACATGCCCCAGCCTGTTCTGCCAAACCTGGTCAGTGCAGACTGTGCCTTGGTGCTCGCACCCCTGGACGTCCCCTTCCACGGTCAGCCTTGGCCTGGGGTGCTGCCCAGTGCTGGCCCAGGGTACACTATGGCTGAAGGCCTGGGGGCTGGAGCGCCCAGGATGGCTCTGGCCACAACCTGGTCTCAACAGAAAGCAAGTCCCCTTGGCATCAAGGGCACGGCATGAGTGGGCCCTTCCAGCATGGGCTGAAGCATACTGAACTGCAGCCAGGCATCTGGTGAGGGAACACAAACTGGGTGGCTAGGAAGACACCACCTCCTCCTCACGCTGCGCTGCACGCGTGGGCTGGGGAGAAACTGAAGCATGGGTATAAAGCCAGGAATCCTGAGCCATCCCTCAGGCCCTGGCGCTGCTCAACCCTCTGGGAGACTGTGCGGGATGGGCATCCAGGGGTGGCGGCAGCAACAGCAGAAGGGGGGCCGTGGGGTCGCCTGAGCCATCCCACCAGGGGGCGCCCTCCGGCGCTCAGGTCCTGGCGAGGGTCCCTCCCGCCTGGCCTTTCTCCCCACACCGGGGGGACCCCAGTGTCCATGCCCTAGGCTCTTGGCAGGCCCGGTAGTGGGCCCAACGAAGGGGCTGAGCTGGTCCCGGGCGGGGAACACGGAGGAGGGGTGGGGAGAAAGAAGACAGAGGCGCGCGCAGGTTCTGTACAGGAAGTCGACTGATACATTTTAGTAACCGGCAACAGTGCAAGGGCCACAGGGAGAATAAGAGATCCAGAGCTGGGGTTTGGCGTCAATCTTACAAAGTGTATAAAGAATCTGTGTTTCTCTACAATAACAAAAACCAAAGGCTACAAGAGCGGTTGTATATACAAAACACCGAGATATTGCTTCACTTGCAAACGGGTTCCTGACCGGATGGGGCGACAAGACAGGGGCGCTGCGTGCGGGGCGGGCGGAGGTCGGTGCGCGTGCCGAGGGCTGGGGGCGCCGGGCCGGGTCCGCCTGCCCACCCCCGCCGGCGCCGGGGCTCCCTGGAGTCTGCCTGGGGACCAGACTCTGGCGCTGGCGCTCCTGGGCTCCAGACGAGGGCGAGGGCGGCCGCGGGCGTCACAGGTTCTGGCAGCACTGCAGCTTGCTGGGTTTTTGTCCGTCGGTGGTGGGGGGCACGCTGATGTCCACCACGTTGTTGCCGGGGGACTCGTCGTGGGCTGCGCGGTCAGCTATCTGCTTCTGTGACACGATGCGGTAGATTTCTGCAAGGAGAGGAGGGGCGGGAATGAGTGGGGTGGGGCTGGGGTTGTATCGTTGTCCCGCGTCCCCCCCTCCCCACCGCGATGCCTGAGTCCCTGCAGCCCTGAGGTCCCATGGGGCACCAGCCGGGAACCAGCACGGGTCTCAGTTGCACCCTGCACTGTGTCTGTCAGGGGCCCAGGTCCCCACCGCCACCCCGAGTGCCCACCTGTGAGGATGTTCTTGAACGCTTCCTCTACGTTGGTGGAGTCCAAGGCTGAGGTCTCAATGAAGGACAGGTTGTTCTTTTCTGGAACAGAGGACACACCTGGGACCTGGCTCTTGCTCTCTGGGGCCCCTTCCCAGATCCCGACCCCCACATGGAGGGTGACTGCCAAGCTGAAGCACCAAAGGTCCATTCGGGGAGTGGGAGGTGGGCACTGTGCCATGTCCCTGGCATTACAGGGACCACCTACCTCTTGACGCCCTCTAAGCCTGCCCAAGTGCCACTCTCTGCTGCCTGCCCCTCACCTGCAAAGGCTCGAGCCTCGTCAGTGGGCACAGCCCGCAGGTGGCGCAGGTCGCTCTTGTTGCCCACCAGCATGATGACAATGTTGCTGTCCGCATGGTCCCGCAGCTCCTTCAGCCAGCGCTCCACGTTCTCATAGGTAAGGTGCTTGGCAATGTCATAGACCAGCAGAGCGCCCACCGCGCCACGGTAGTACCTGCAGGCCAGGGTTCCCCATAAGGCTGCAGACTGGGGCTCCAAGGGCCCAGCTCTACCCCCCAGGCTCTCAGCCAGAGGCTGGAGGAAGGAGCCTGAAGTCGGAATGGTCACCATGAGGTCGTTTACCAAGCAGGACAACAAAACTGCAGGGCAGGAGTTCTGCAGCTCCATGCAGGCCAGGCCTGGACCATGGAGGCAGACAGAGTCCCATCCACCCAGGGGACAGGGATCTGGGGAGGGGCCAGAGGACAGTGAGGAGACCAGCTGGGGGCTGGGAGGGGTTCAGAGAGCAGCAGCATGCATGGTGGGATGTCTTCTGCAGAAATGGGGATGCGGCCCAGGGCCTTCACATTGAGCTACGTGATCTCTTTTTGAGACAGGATTTCGCTGTTCCCCAGCAAGGATACCAGGGCTGTGGTAGGGCCAAGACTGGGTGCTGGTGCACCTGAAGGTCCCATAACTCTAGGGCCTGCCAGGGTGTCCCTGCATGCTCCACTCCCTCGTCTTGGGGAGCAGAGATCACTTTCTTTTTTTGTTTTGTTTTGTTTTTTTGATACTGGGGATCACTCACAATCTTGCGCTTGCCAGACAGATGCTTATGCTCTTTCTAGCCTAACCCCTATGTATCCCCGCAGGCCGAGCAGCCCAGCCTGACACGCACGCAGAGGTGATGGCGCGGTAGCGCTCCTGGCCAGCCGTGTCCCAGATCTGCGCCTTGATGGTCTTGCCGTCCACCTGGATGCTGCGGGTGGCGAACTCGACGCCGATGGTGCTCTTGCTCTCCAGGTTGAACTCGTTGCGGGTGAAGCGTGACAGCAGGTTGCTCTTTCCCACGCCGGAGTCTCCAATGAGCACCACTTGGGGGCAGAAGGAAGGCGAGGTGAGGCTCTGTGGGACCCCGCAAGGCCCTTCGTCCTCCGAGAGACCCTCAGGTGGAGGCAACAGAGATGCCGGGAACGTGATGGGCCTACAGGCGGCATGATGATGACTGGTGCAGGAGCAGCCAGAGTGGATCGGACAGCACGGCCGCCTGGCTCTGGGCCCCCGGGAAGGGCTGTCCTAGCCAGAGTCCCAGCACATGCCAGGTGACCTCGCAGGCAGGGTGGCTTGAGAGTGCCAGACTCAAGTCTGCACCTGCAGCACAGTGACTAGGAAGCCAGGAGCAGCCAGAGCAATCTGTAGCCAGGAGGCCTGGAGCACATCACCTGACCTCTGAGGGCCAGGAAGGGGCTGTCTCAGGAAAAGGAGACAGAGTGCACAGGGTCAGGACCCAGCCAACACGCAGCACCCAAGAGGAGACGTGGGCCTGCAGCTGTCAACATCATTGTTGTGGCTTTGTACCGAGCCTGGGAAGGGTTACAATCCCACAGCATTATTACAGTGACCAGCAATGCAGTCTCCGCCCACTCATGTTTCCACCCACATTCAGCCCCTGGGCATGGCCTCTGCCTGAGGAACAGGAATGCCGCCCCTGGATGCAGTCCAGAAAGTGGTTTGACTGGGTTTTCAGTGGTGCTGGGGATCGAACCCTTGTCCCCAGGTTTTTCTATACTTTTTAATTTTGAGGGCTGGGATTGTAGTTCAGGGGTACAGTGCTTGCCCTGCATGGGTGAGGACCTAGCTTCAAGACCCAGTACCAAAAAACACAACACTCCAGGGTGGGGACGGTGAGGGGTGCTCTGGGGGCTGGTGACGGCTGTGTGGTGGCGGGGCGTGGGTTACACAGGCAGGCTCTGAGGTGAAAACACCCAACTCTGAGCTCATGTGTGCTTTCCTGCCTGAGTGCAACTGTGTGAGGAGGAGTCAGGGTGCCTGTGTGTCTAGATTCCAGCCCTTTCTTTCTGCTTTCCCGGGGGAGGCCGCCACCCTGGTCACAGCCCGGCCTCCTCCCTCCCCAGTCCTGCTCTTTGCTCTCACCCCGACTAAAAGCCAGTTCTCATCACAGCCCCAAGAGGGCGACAGGAAACATGGAAGTCAGCTCTGATCCTCCCTGGGCCTCCAGGGCTCCCACTGCCCTAGGGTGACTGCTCAAGTCCTTCCTGGGACCCATGAGGCTCCATACGGCCTGCCACCAACTCCTCTCTGCCTTCATTGGGCCCAGCCCTCTCAGAACTGGGGACTGAACCAGGACCTCTGTACTGAACTGTATTCCCCCGTCCTTTCGTTTTTTATTTTCAGACAAGGTCTTGCCAAGTTGCCCAGGCTGGGCTTGAATTTGAGATCCTTCTGCCTCCCAGTGTCTTGTTCCCTGCTGGATCCCCAGGCCCTGAGTGGCACAGAGCTTGATACGCAGTAAGTACCAGATGACTGTGTAATGAACAATTGAATTCCACAGTGGCTGGCAGAGCTTCCTGGGCCCACCTCTCTGATACCCACATGTACTTGGAAGATGCTGGGTCAGTCACCACCCTTGGGTCACAGGTAAGAGACAGAGCCAGACAAGGCAGCTCCCCCAAAGCCAACTCAGAACCCTCTGGGCTGCTGTTTGAGAGCCAAGACTAAGACTGAAAGCGAAAGGAGTCAGTATGTTAAAATACTGTCCAGGGTGCACTCCTCATACAGCCCAGTGCACAGACAAGGAAACTGAGGCTCCGATGGGGAATGAGGCTGGGCGCACGGTGAGCAGGGAGATGGGTTCGTAGGTGCAGGTCTGTCTCTCTGCCCAACCATATCACCAAGTTATGACACAGCCAGTGCTGGCTGCCTGGGAAGCAGTCCAGGCAGAATGTGATTCTTGACCTTCAGGGCAAAGGCCTGAAGTCTCTCACTCCCAACCTGGATACTCCTCACCCTTCTCCCTCTGGCCCTAGCATGTGGCACTGGGCGTCTTGGTTCTGTGTTACTGAGGCCCCAGCTGTCCCACCGGAGATCTGGAACACGTGTACCTCTCCAGCTTCTACCACCCAGGTCATCCTGCAAACTCCTACGCAGCCTTCTAGACCCCTCAATTCAGGCCTCTCTGCTCTGGCCACACCGCCCAGCCTGGCCCATGAGAGACATCTGCCAAGGCTAGCACCCCTCTTATGACTGTGGGTGCCAAGTTCAGAGAAAGACAGGGAGAGATGGGGCTTAGTCAAAGCCGAGGTCTCCGACTAAAAACTAGGTCCCAGACCCTAGAGACCAGGCTGGGCCAACCGGGTCATAGGATGCCATCCACACCCCCTTCACTTTCACCTTCTATCATAGTGGCCACAGAGCCTGGCCAGAGCCAGGGAGTTTTGCCCTCAGTTTTCATGTCCTTTAGGATGGACGAGGAAGCTGGGATGGTGGCACATGCCTGCAATCCCAGCACTCGAGACGCTGAGGCAGGAGGACTGCAGTGAGTTTGAAGCCAGCCTAAACTACATAGCAAGATCCAATCTCAACAAACAAACAAACAAAATAAGAATGCAATGCGATGCTCAGGCCATGCTGGAGATCCCCCCACAACCAGCAGCCCTGCTCCACTCTGGCCAACAATCTCCATCTGACAGCATGCAGGCCTCACCTTCCAGGGACCACCACCCTGGCACCCACACAGAACCTAAGCATTGTATTGCACTAGACCAGAGTGACCAAGAACCCAGCCCAAGGTCACCCAGAGAGAACAGTGGGCCAGGCCAGGATGAGGGTGAACTGCTACCACCCAGATGAGTTGCAGGAAGGCCTGCCACCTCAGCAGTCCCTGGCACGGGACACCTGACACAGAGAAGTGGCAGGCTGTGCAGCGGCCGGCCGGGCTGGCTATGTGCAGGCTGGGCATGAAAATGGCATTGTCAGGAGCACAAACCATCTGCTGTCTTGGGCAAATAAAGGGCCCTTGAGGACACAGCCCCAGGCCCTTCCAGAGAAGTCGTTGGCTTCAGTGGCTAGGAAGTAGCTACTCTGGACAGGCCCTTTGGCTTGCAGAGCAGGCAAGCCCAGTTGGCAAAAACAGCACTGGTATCTCCTGGAAACCCTGAAGCTCTGTGAAAGGGGGCTCTGCCAGCTCACTCTGGGGGCTCCGCCATAGTAAGCACTGCTGCCCTGCTCTGGGGTCCCTGATGCTATGTTTGTTTGGGTCCCAAAACAGCAGACCTGATGAGGTTCTTGTATAGGCAGGAGGACACTGAGTTCCAGGACTGGCCCATTCTATAGGGAGCAGCACCCCTCTCTCCTTGGGCAGTGTGGACATGACCCAGATGGCAAGCCCTGGGCCACTGTAGCCAGTTTCCCACATGACCCAAGCCTTCAAGGGCTAGGTGGGTACTGAGCGGCCAGGAGCGATGGGAGGGCCTCGGTGGTCTGTAGGGACACCAGGACTCGCACTGTGGGCCCTGCAGCCCCATGTCCAGCAGAGGAGGACTCAGGGTGCCCTGGGGACCAGTCAGCTGGCTAGAAAGATGGCCCCTGGCTGGCAGGGTACATTCGAGGATCTAGCATTAAGTGCAATAAACAGCCCCACTCCTGGGACGAAGCAGAATGTTCAAGGAGCAAAACAAGAGCACCCTTGGGACCCACCAGCCTCTCTGCTAAGGTCAAGGGAGCCAGCTTATGACGTGGCTGCCAAGAGATGGGAGGTGCCAAGGGGCAGGATGTGCAGCCAGGTCCCAGCAGTAGATGCGGGGCTCTGCCCATGCAGAGGCTCAGTCAGGGAGGACAACCAAAGCTCAGGGCAGGGAGCAGGCTGGGGGCTCCCAACTGTTGTTCTTCTGGCTCCTAGGGGGTTTCCTAGATAGCCATACAGTGCCAAGCTCATGCTTGTCAACACCGCCACTCCAGGCCATCCACTCCAAGTCCAGGCCATCGCCTTGCAGGTGAAGGATGGACAGGCTATGGGGCTTGGGCCACAGATGGTAGTGCACAGCTGGTATCCCAGCACCCAGGAGGCTGAGACAGGAGGATTACTGGAAGTTTGAGGCCAGCTTGGGCTACACAGTGAGTTCCAAGCCAGCCAGAACTGTGCAGTGAAACCATGTCTCAAAAAACAAAACAGAACAAAGAGGAAGGCACTGGTACATTCACATTTCCCGACAGACTCTGCTGCATTTGAGCAAGTCATGTCATAGAGGTGTCCTGTCTGCCCACTGGTCTTTCCCTCCCTTCCTTTTTAATTGTTCAGAGCCAAAGACTGCTTTCTCTTCCTGCTCAATGGAGGGGAAACCTGAGAGGACTTTAGGACCCACACACGGGAAGAGAACAGAGCAGGTCCCTGAATGACATGGAAGTTGGGAAGGGATGAGCACTAGGGACATGCTGGCCCAGTGGGTCAGATGCTGGCTCCCCAGCAACTGGTGAAGGTCAGCAGTGAGTGAAAGGAGGCCAGTGCTGTTGTTTCCAGGAAGCAGGCCCCAGAGTCCTGTCCTGGGAACCGCACTGTGCTCTGCTGCCCCTGACCTAGTAACTGCACTTCTGGGAACGTGCATCAAAGAACCAACCCAAAGGGCAAAGAGGAGACACAGTGAAAGCTCAGAGCTGGTTATTTATAACAGTGGAAGGCTGAAAATAAAAAGAGGGATGACCACAGAAACTGGAATGTGACAACAAGAGGAAAAGGTCCTCTACACTGGCAGTGCCAAAACACGGGAGCAGTTGACTCAGTGGGGCTGAGAGGACAGGCACCTGCTATAGCAGGGCTGGCGTCTGAGCTACCTGTCACCAGAGGACCTTGCCAGTGCATCCATGGGCTGGGCACAGACGCACCAAGAAGCCAGAGACTCTTAAACATGTGGGAATGAGAAATTAGAGGCCTGGACATATGGAGAGAGTCTCACCAGGCCATGGCTGCCTGACCTGTGTGGGCCTCACGTGTGTCGCTGGAACCCCTGGTCCCTCAGGTGAGGGCCTTGGTCCTCGGATGTTGATGGCCGGGCCTGAGCTGGCAATGCCCATGTGCTGAGGAAGGAACAAAGTGTGACGACTCTAGGACCTGATCCAGCATGGAAACCCCCAAAACTCGCTTCCTCTGCAGTAAAGCCCAGCGCTGGCCAGGGTTCCCCACTGCCCTATGAATATTTCCCAGTGTTTCTTAGTCTGTACTACCAAGAGGCGCCGGATAATAACGACCTCACAGGGCAGTGAGCACTCAAACGAGACTGAGTGGAAAGGGCTCGGCAAAGTGTAGGTTCTGGGTCAGTGATACCAAGAGTGAAGACAACTGGTGCTGAATATCCAGGCACTCTTCCATCTAATCCCAGATCAGCAAGCGCTACAATCTAAGGATCCCCACTCACATTCCGGCCCCGCCTCCATTGTCCACCCCGCCCAGGAGGCCCCGCCCCCGCGCCGCGCCAATCAGGACTGCCCACATAGGAGCCCGCCCCTAAAACCAGGCCCAAACCACCTCCTTGACCCGCCCACAGCGGCCAGGCCCCGCCCCTAAGGGCCCCGCCCCCATCCCCAGTCGCGCTTTCAACGCAGCCGGTCCCGCCAAATCTTGGCGCGGTCCCGCCCCCTCCTCAGGCCCCGCCCCTAACGGCCTCTCCTACCGCTCCGGGCCCCACCCCCTCTGGGCCCGGCCCCGCCTCGGCGCATCCCGGGTCTCAAGGCCTCTCTGGGCCTTCTGCTTCTCCCGGCTCCGCGCTCTGGGTGAACTGACAGCGCCTGGCCTGTCCCAGCCGTCCAGGATGCTCGACCCAGCGGGCCTAAGCCCCAGACAGGCTCTGGCTTGGGCCTAGCGGCCCGAATAGTGACCTCGGTCTGCTGTCCGTCGCCTCGCCGCTGCACCCATACCCGTCTATGCCCTACTGGCCGCACCTTTGAATAGGTAGTCGTACTCGTCGTCCCGGGTCCCCATTGTCCTGGCGCTTCCGGCGGGATCGGCGACTCCGCAGCCCCACCACAAACACCCAACGGGGGCGGTGCCGGTGCCGCACAGAGCGGCGGTCTGTTGACCAATCAGCAGCGGAAGGAGTACCGACCGGCACCCACTGTAACCAATTAGAGACAGAAATAGAGCTCCGGGGGTGGGTGTCTTTTAGAATCCGCCCTCTTCGCCCTCGGTCTCCCGGAGAAAGGCGGAAGGAATGCGGACCTGTCTGTAGTGATAGCCAATACAACCTATCAGAGGCAGGTTTAAGGAGGCTGGGCGGAAGACTGGAAGAATGAAGCGGATTGACGGAATATGCAGCCAATAAGAGGCTTGATTCTATCCCTAGCCTACCACAAGAAGACCGGTCTGAGGGAGTATGTCCAGGTGATGTTACGCTGGTTAATGTCCCAATGACGTCATAAGTCAGTCTGGGGAGTACTGGCGTCGGCCTTCGGTTCATAAATGACCATTTCCGGAGCCACAGCTCCGGTAGGATGGGGCTTTTTTCTCTCTCTTGCGGTTTCTATTAGTACCCTAATGACTTCCGGTTTATGCCTCTATTCATGCAGATTAAACCCACCTGAATAAACACATACTGACTTAGTCCACATTTTAACAAATATTGGGGGTTGGGGGTGTAGCCCAGGGGCAGAGCGTTTGCCTAGCATGTGAGGCCCTTGGTTCCATCCCCGGTACCGCAAAAGGAAGAAAGGTGGAGGTATTTTCCAAAATAACCTCTCTCCTATAGACTTTATTGCTTCTGGCATTAAAGCATATATTTGTTTTATATATTTAAAGTGCCCTGCAGCTACACAAATTAACCTATCCACTCCCCTGGCTATCTTTGAGTATGCAAAAGCTGCAGTCTTGGCAAATTTTCAGTGTACATTGCAGTGTTACTGCAAAGCATTGTTGCTTTCTTGATCCAGTGATCAGTTTAATTTCTGTCCCCTGTCAACAGAATATCAGCCTGAGTAAAGCAGGGACTGTGTGTCTCAGTCATGGCTGTGTACCCATGCAAATTAATACATGTTCAGTAATGACTATCCATATATTAAGCCTGAGTGCTGATGATGCTTGTTATTGATGCTTACATTGCGTTCCTGAGACGTTCATTGGTCTCTTTCCTTATATTCGCCATCGCATGTCTGTCTTCATGGAGGTGATGGTCTGGGGACAGGCAAGTCAGACAGGAAGCAAATAGTAAACCATGGAAGTGGCCTTCCCGTTGAGTCCTGAAACAGAAGGGACCATGATGGTGGCCGGGGTGGGGGTGGGTTGTTGGTAAAACAAAATACTTCAGACAAGGACATTTGTGTAGAATTGAAGTTGAGTTTGCTACTGGCTCTGTAGGTTGGAAAGTGGAAGCGCTTGAGTCCTGTTGAGAGCCTTTGTGCTGCATCACACCAGGTGACGGGGCATCAGAGCATGAGACAGGAAGTGAGTTAGCTTTTGCTGGTTTTTTGTTTTCTTGGGTTTTTTTGTAGTTGTTTGTTTTTTTGGTACTGAGGATTGACCTCACAGCTTTTGCTGTGACCCGCACCTGTAACCCCAGTACTTGGGAGGCTGAGGCACAGATGATCGCTGCAAGTTCAAGGCCAATCTGAACTACAAAGGAAGACCCTGGCTCCAAAGACCAAACAACTGGGCCAGGAATACAGCTTAGTGACACAGCACCTCCCTGGCAAGCATGAGGTCGGGGGTTGATCTCTGGTACAAAAACAAAAACAAAAACCAATTTAAAAAATGAAACTGAAAAATTCCCATTGCCTGATGATGTCCTAGCCATCATAATATCATAGAAAAACACATTCTTTATACATTTATGGTGATGTTAGTGTGAAAAAAACCCAGTGCAGGACCAGTCACATGGAGATTAGTGATACAGTACATAATGCTTGATTATGTTATACTAAGTGCAAGTGTTACTGTTTTATGCACATACTATTCTGTACTTTTATTGTCATTTTAAAGTATATTCCTGCTATGGCAAAGAGAAACACTCAACACGTAACCCAGGATTTGGAGGCAGATTTCTTTGACCTTGACAGGCATTGACTGGGATCATTCCTAAAATGTCAAACTCCGAACAGTGATGGGCAAGCATTTTTATAGGATCTGTAAGCAGCAAGTACAGAGGCAGAGTACTTGGCTCTCTTTGATTATTCTTACAATATGCATCATAGAGACCAGCTATGCATCACAGTGACCAGCTGTTTCTAAGAAACAAATGTAACAGGAACTGTAACAGAAACTATTACCTGGGCAACTAACAGAAACATATATCCTGGCTGGTGGGTACATTTTTTGCTATCTTCCTGCTTATAAAGAACAAATTATCTAGGCATGGTGGTGTCCATCTGTCATTCTAACACTTGGGAGGCTATGACAGGAGGATTGCTGCAAGTTTGAGGCCAGCATGGACTGTGTAGTGAAACCCAGTTCCCCTAAAAAAGAAAAAATAAAAACTCATGCCCTCCCCATAAAACAGGTTCACTATAGAGAGTCTACAGTGTTTCTCCAGCAGCAGCCTTAACAATTTCATGTTTTCTGTGTGGTGGTGCATACCTTTGATCCCAGCATCCTGGGAGGCTGAAGCGGGAGGATCACAAATTGAAGCCCAGCCTGGGCAACCTAGCAAATTAGCAAGATAAAAATAAATAAATAAAAAGGGTTGGAGTATAGATTTAGTTCTGTGGGAAGTCAGTGGGTTCAATTCCTAGTACACACCCCCAAGGATGGATGATAGAGACACAGATAGGTTTTTTAAAAATAGGCTGAATTCCTTAACTCACTCAGCCAGAGTTCCAGAAAAGCTGTGGTATCTCCCGTAGCAGCTTGGAAGACGCATGGGACAGGAAAATGACAGAATTTTCCTTTAGCCCCAGGAGTCCCCCTTCCTGGGGACACTTGGCAGTGGGCTTGGAGGACGCTCTGAGTGAAGCTGGGTGCTGCTGTTAAAATTTTACTCCAAAACAGGGATTCAACAAGAGGCCCAAGGCTGGCCTCAATTTTCAGCTCTCTGCCCCAGCCTCTCATGCAGCTAGGATTACAGGGGTACACCACTGCGCAGGGCCTCCCTAAATCTTCTCTTCACCCCCAGCCTCCACCTCTTGCCCCAGTACTGGGGATAGAACCCAGCACTCCTTTTACCTCAGCTTCCCAGGGAGCTGAGATGCAAGTGTGAGCCACCACACCCAACTTCATCAGAATTTTTAATAGAGCACTGAAACTGGGTTAGAGACTTCGGAAAGCAACAAGGTCTGACTGGAATTCCCCGCCCCTCCCCCATCTTACTGTGGAAAATTGTACACAGTTAGAAAAATGCGAAGCATTGTAGAGAGAATATCTAGCTCCCTCTGCCTGTCAGGTTGCTGCGTTAATCTTTTGCTTGCTCATCGATCTCCCTCTACCCATCAATGACCATCATCTTTTTTTAGTGCTGGGAAAGAAGCCCCAGGTCTCTACTATGCCAACTGCCTGCTTTACCACTAAGCTAAACCCCCACCATCTCCCTACCATCAGCTGTCAATACATCATTCCGCCTGCCCCTTTAACTCCGCCCCCTGTCAAAGTCCAAAAAAATCCATGATTCTTTCCTGAAGCGTCTAGAGGGTGTCTGCCTCTTTTTGGCAGCCCTCCTATGCCTTCAGCAAAGGTCTTTGCTCTTCTGCTGTCTCTGTCTCTGTCTCTGTCTCTGTCTCTGTTTCTCTCTCTCTCCCACTCTGTTCCTCTCTCATGCCAGGGAAGACCTAACACTTACAATTCATTTCAAAGAAAATTGAAGACTTGAATCCACTATGCTTCCAAAAACACAGCATACACCAGGTACGCTGGAGCAGGCCTATGATCCCGGCACTCTAGAGGCTGAGACAGAAGGACTGCAATTGCAGGCCAGCCTGGGCTGCACAGTGAAATCCTATCTCAAGAATAAATAAATAAGCCAGGCATGGTGGTGTATGCCTGTAATTCCAGCACTTAGGAGGCTGAGGCAGGAGGATCACTGTGAATTCAAGGCCAGACTGGGTTACAAAGTGAGTTCAAGGCCAGCCTGAACTATGTAAGGAAACCCTGTCTCAAAAAGACCTAAATAAATAAATAATAAGGAAATGTAAGCATGTGTGTGATTAATCAGAGCCCAGTATGTGTGCATGGCTTTTTGTAGTTTTTTGACATAAAATGTACATGCAATGAAATGTGCAGATTTTTTTTTCTTTTTTTTTTTTTTGGTACCAGGGATCCAACTCATGACTTTGCGCTTGCAAAAGCAGATACTTATGCCACTGAGCTAAATCCCTGGCCCAAAATGTACAGATTTTTAAGCATACATTTGCTGAGACAAAGACTTACTGTGAGTCTTACTTATTATTTCTGGTTGCCCTGTCCCCTTTTCCTTCTCCTCTCCCTCCCTCTCCCACTTCCCTTCTACATCTTCAGCTACAATTTTGTTTTTTTGAGTCAAGGTCTTCCTGTATAGTCCAGGCTGGCCTTGTATTCACTATATATCCCAGGATGGACTCAAAACTTGCAGTGATCTTCTGCTTCAGTCTTCCAGGTGCTGGGATTACAGCCATGTGCTATGCCCAGCTCACAAACTAGAATTCTGAAGCCTGGGCATTGTTGACCAATACTAATTTTTCAGTTTTGATAGGGATATGCTTCCATTTAAAAAATCTAGTCCAAGGCTGGGTATGGTGGTGCACACCTATAATCCTAGCCCTTAGTAGGCTGAGGCAGGAAGATAACCATGAGTTTGAGGCCAGCCTGTGCTACACAGTGATTACAAGTTCATCCTGAACTATACAGCGAGATCTGGTCTCAAAAAAAAAAAAAAAAAAAAATTCTAGGCCGGTCATGGCTAGGAGTGAGCTGTTTCATATCTGTCACCAGCTTAATTATTAATAGCAACCCACTTTTCCTCTCAAAGTGCCCTAGTTAGGGCCATTGGGTTTGGGTCACCTTATCTCTGAAGGAGGGGCTGTGATGGGCAGTTCAGGGAGGACAGAGGTCTTTCTGTTCATTAGGCATAGGGCTTGGTGTGTAGCAATTGCTCAACAAATATTAGCTGAGTCTGTATTACCAAAACAAAGGTCAGTGTAAACAAAAGTGTCAACTGGGTGTGATGAAGCCCTTCTGTCATCCCAGTACTGGGGAGGCTGAGGCAAGAGGACTGTTTTGAGTTTGAAGCCAGTCTGGGCTACATAGTGAGTTCAAGGTCAGCCTGAAGTGCATAGCAAAACTGTCTAAAAAGAAGGGAACTTGTAAATTTCAGCACAGATAATCTGTAGAGGAGCTAAAAAAAAAAAAGTCAGCTGAGCATGCTGGCTCATGCCTGTAATCTCAGCACTCTAGAAGCTGAGGCAGGAGGATCATTACGAGTTTGAGACCATGACTACCCATAAAATTAAGCAAGAAATTAAAAAGTTTAAACATGATTCATTCTTAACTATAATGGAGAAAAGGCTTTCATTTTCTCTGTCACCAGCATTCAGAGCAATGAACTATGTGAGATTTTTGTTTTATGATTCTGAAAATTAAAAAAAAAAACAAAAAACAAAAAACAGTGCCACATCATGAAATAACAAGCTAGAAGAGCCGGGTGTAGTGTTCTACTCCTGCAACCCCAGCACTTGGGAGGCTGAGGCAGGAGGCTCACCATGAATCTGAGACCAGCCTGGGCTACACAGTGAATTCAAGGCCATCAAAATAAACGAAGGGAACCGGATTGGGTGTTGGGAGTGGGAGGGGTGACAATTCTGTCTTTAGGGACCCGGGAGCAAACATGTTTATGTGGACTCTGAAACAACCTGTTTTTAAAAACAAGCCAAAGGACAAGAACAAATCGTTCCTAGGTTGCTTTTATTCCCAGAACTCTGAGCTCCACCCAGCCTCTGCGATTGGCACAGCTGGGGGTCCCGCACCACACGGGACAGCACCTCAGGGCCCCCAGGGCCTCCCTGGCCAGTCAATGTGACTGAGTCCGCCGTCGACGGCCGGCCTGGCCATGCCCCGGGTCCCTCTGCACCCCCACTCCGCAGGCGAGCAAGAAGGGGCCTCCAGGTCCCTCGGCCCGTGCTCACAACCATCTGGCTATGCGCCCCATCTTCGGGCGCAAGCGGCGTGCGCCCCGCTCCTGCAGATCGTGCCCCTGAGTCCTTTCTGACCTCCGGGCGCCTGATGAGCCTGCTGGGACCGCGCTCCAGAGGAACACAGCCGCGTCCTCGGGCCACAGCCAAAGTCACTGTCCTCAGGAACCCGCCAAGGAGCTAGGCGGCCGCGGCGCGCTCTGCGGGCTGGAGCAGCACTGTGGTGGCCCGCAGCGGGTAGTAGCGGCCCCGCCACGTCCTCCAGAAGATTCCCTTCTTCCGCTGCCTCCGCTGCTTAGGCATGGAGTGGAAGTACTGGCCATTGAGATTGGAGTGGCCGCAGGTCCCAAACCACCATCCACCTGTTGAGGTCAGAGGACAGAGGGTCCATCTCATCCCAGGGTCTCCACGTGGAGGCGGGGAAAGGGGTGAAGGTTCCCCTGGGCTTTCACTTTACACTTTTTAAATGGGAAGATTTTGGCAGCGATTATCAAACTGCTCCGAGGAACCCCAGGTTGCAAACAGTATCTCACTGTGTGGCTCAGGCTAGGATCAATCTTGGCAAGCCTCCTTCCTGCCTCAGCCTCCCAGGAGCTGGGGTTACAGGAATCCCAGGCTGTGACAAAGTAGTTTCAGGGATCTTGGCCATTCCCTTTTCTGTAATCACAGCACATCAGCTTGTGTGCCACAGCAAGCTATGATACTTCTCTATACGTGACACATAGCTGACTTTTAAAAAAAATTTTTTTAGAAGACTTTCTGCTGGACACGGTGGCACATGCCTGTAATCAGGCACTCTGAGACACTGAGGCAGGAAGATAGCACATTTGAGCCCAGCGGGGGCAATTTAGTGACTAAACAAGATCCTGTCATGTTTGCTGGGGTGTTTTGTTTTGTTTTTACCAAGAATTCAACTCAGGGCCTTGTGCTTGCTAGGCAGGTGCTGTGCCACTGAGCTACATCCCTGGGCGTTTTTTTTTTGTTTGTTTGTTTGTTTTGTTTTGTTTTGTTTTGGTTTGGTTTGGTTTTGAGAGAGGGTCTTCTTATGCAGCCCAGACTGGCCTTCAATTCACTGCACAGCCCAGGCTGGCCTCCAAGTCACAGCAGTCCTCCTGCCTCGGCCTCCTGTGCACTGGAATTACAGGCATGAGCCACCGCCACCAACAAGATTGTATTTTATAAGAAAAAATAAATAGCTGCAGACGCAGCTCAATGTGAAGTCTCTGGGTTCAATCTCCAGCACTGCAAAAAGCAAAAAGACTTTCTACAGCCTGCATCTTTGGCATCAATTTATATGAGCTTGAATGATATGAAATTACCAACAATGAATCAGTTTCTGACCTATCAGAAGGTAATTTCACAACTGGGTGTGGTGGTGCATGCCTATCATCTCAGAAGTCAGGAGGCTGAGGCAGGAGGATTACTTTGAGTTGGAGACCAGCCTGGCTACATAGTAAACTCCAGGCCTGCCTGGACTACATAGCAAGACTCTGTCTCAAAAAATAAAAAGCACAAGACAGGAGTTGTCTTGTTGGCTCTGCCCCACCCAGCCATTTCCCATGAACATCTCAGGGAAATTTCCTAACACTCCTGTGAGTGCCCCCACCCCGCAGCACCCATTTAGAGGCAGGAAGGCTTAGGCGCGAGAGGTGCACGTGAGCGGGGCTCACCAGAGAGGATCTTGGCACAGTTGAGATCGCCGCGCAAATCGTGGTCCTGGTCCCACGTGGAGAAGGGCAGGGAGAGGCTGCCGGGCGAGGCAGCGGAGGCGACGGTGGCGCCCAGCTTGGTGGCCACGGGCGCCGCAAGCTGCAGGCTGTAGGCCGTGTCCTCGCCCCCCAGGCGGGCCGGGAAGCGCAGCGACTCGGTGTTGCCTTCCCAGTCTAGCAGCTGGACGGCCAGGCGGCCGCCGCGGTCACCCACTAGGCGATGTATCTTCTCCAGGCCCAACCAGAACTCGCCTGCGCGGGGCGGGGGCAGGGACGCCAGGGTGAGAGGGGCCTGAGAGGTGCCAGATCCGAGCCGCGCCCCGCCCTGCCCCGCCTGCCCGGCCGAGGACGCTCACCTCGGGGGTCCCCGAAGCCCGCCTTGTAGGCTTTCCAGGGCCTATTGAAGTCCACCGAGCCGTTCAGGCGCCTCTGAATCACCGTCCAGCCTCCATCTGCCCAGAGACCCAAGGTCACTAGGAGGCGCCCTCACAGGGGACCCAGCGAGCCCAAGTTCCCTAGACTGAGATGCCTGGGGAGGTGAGGCAGAGGCATGAAGACCATGGGCTGCAGACAAGGGGCAAGGGAAGGCCAGGAAGGAAGGAGGGGTAAGAGAAATCTGCAAAGACAGCAGCAGATCTCTGGCTTTTTTTTTTTTGGTTTTTTTGAGACAGGGTCTCCCTATGCAGTTCAGGCAGGCCTGGAGTTTACTACGTAGCCCACGTTGGTCTCAAATTTCCAAAGATTCTCCTGCTTCAGCCTCCCAAGTGCTGGGATTACAGGAGTGCACCACAACACCCGGCTCACTGTTTGATCTTTAATTTTTAACTTTTTTTTTTAGACAGGGACTTGCTATTTAGGCTAAGCCCTGAGCTCAATATGTTGCCCAACTAGCCTCACATTTGGAGAAATGCTTCTGCCTCAGCCTCCTGAGTACTGGGGTTACAGGTGTGTGCCACCACAACTGGCAGCAGCTGCAGATCTTCACTACCGGGGACCTGGCTCTGAGCTTTTTGCAGTGGAGTCAACAAGATAACCCTGCTTTTTACTTTTAATGTTCTTGTGTTGCTGAGGGGTGGACTCAGGGCCCTAACACGTGCGCGCTAAGCTGCGCTGCGCTGCGCGGTGCTGTCAGTGCTGAGGGGCTGCCTGGCCCGCTGCACACCGTACCTGAAGCCATCTGGCAGGTGACCAGGAAGGGCGGGGACCCCTCAGGCTGGATCTCGAACAGTCCACTCTGCCGCTCGCCCTCCTCGAAGAGCTCCTGGCAGTCCCGGGGCAGCCCTGAAGCAGACAGGAGGAGCTGAGGTCCCTCTGCTTGGGACCTTCTCCCCCCCCCCTTCCGGTTCCCAGTTTCGAGGAAAGACGCCTTCGCTCACCCCGCATAGCAGAGCGACCTAGAAATCCTATTATAATAAAGCACAGCACGGAGAGTGTCCTCCGTTCCCTCTACTGAGATAGGGGTCCCCGAGGCCAGGGACGACGAGTTCTGTCCACAGCCTGACACTAGTGACCATCCTGAGCCTACCCTGCCGCGGGGGTGTTTGAGGAATGAATGGCTGAAGGAGCTGGACCAGGGGTGGAAGACAAAAGGAATCAATTCAGGCCGGTGCACGGCGGATGCTGACTGAACCCCGAGAGGGTTGGGGATCCCAGCTACGCGAGTACTAGGGAGCAGGGTAGAGCAGAGAGGGTGATGGAAGGGGAGGGGCGTGGCTTAGACACGCAGGGGGCGTGGTCAGAGCACCCCCATCCCTGCTGGGAAAGTGGGACAAAGGTCCCTAGAGGGCGTGTGCTGGGGACTCTCCACCGTGAGTCACGCCAAGTGGGGTGGGGGCGGGCTTGGCCCCGGGGTGACAGGGAGGTCACTTTCTGGCCCCTCGGGCAGCTCCCCTTTCCCCTACTTTCCTCCTATCCAGTCTGGACGGGCGCGCGGCCAAGCCGCCCATGTGGTCCCTATTAGCGCCAGCTGTTTGTCTCCGGGCTCTGAACTTTCCCCTGCTTGGCGGCCCGGCTGAGTGTAGGAGTCCCAGACCCACACCACGCACCCCAGCTTCCCTGCCTGCCGCCAACCTCCCGGCCCAAACCTGTGCCTGCTAGGCCCTGGAGCTCCTGGTCCCGGGGCGACGGTGGTTTGAGAGGGTTGGGAACCCCTCCCCCCAGGTTAAAGGCCGACGGAGTAGGGGTGGGGGACAGAAAAAGGGGGAGTGCGGGGAGGGGATGCCCTAAAAACCACAGGCCGGAAGCCAGGGCCTAGCCGCAGATTGTGAAGCCAGAGTCCAAACTCACCTTTTTGGCTGTGGACGCCCCAGATGCGGAGCAGGGTGATGGGGTGGCTGAGAATTTAGGGTGGCAACTGGGATCGTGATCGTGTGTCATGCATACACGCATGCACATTTGTAGGCACACGTTGTGCCTTGAGATTGGGGGCAATTCAGGGCAGACACCAGACCGTGAGAGAACTAGAACTTGCCATGCCAGCAAAGCCTGTTCTGTACACGCGCACATGTGTACGTGCGCGCACCTGTGAGTATATGCAGGTTGCGTGAGGGCTTTGGACAGAAAAGAAGTGGGAAGGATTAAGAGCCCTGGCGTCAAGAGTTTGTCTGAGGGGCTTGGGGATTTAGCTCAGCGGCATAAGCGCCTGCCTTGCAAGAAGGCAGTCATGAGTTCGATCTCCGGTACCGATAAAAAGGAAAAAGACAAAAAAAAAAAAAAAAAAAAAAAAAAAAAAAAAAAAAAAAAAGAGTTTGGCCAGGCAGCTTGGTGACAGTAGGGGTCCCTGCCCTAGTTCTCCCTCCTAAATTTGCACCTCAAGAAAAACCTGGGCTAGGCTCAACTTCACCAGCACCTGCCTGGCAAGCTCAAGGTCCTGAGTTCAATTCCCTGTACCAAAAAAAAAAAAAAAAAAAAAAAAACAACTCTTGGGGTGCCAAACCTGAGAATCCTCCCCAAACGTGGAGCTTCTGGTCCATCATATCCTCCGAGAAGTTTCTAACCATCAGGATGGCTCCCCTGAGGCACCCCACCATCTGAGGGTACCTCTGAACCTTAAATTTCTCCTGTCTCTCTTCTAGTCCCTGGACCAGCAGGGTTTGAGAGGAAGCCTGCTGCCTCCCGAGGAGAAGGGTGAGGTGGCCTGAGGCCCCCATCATCCCAGCTGCCAGAGCTTAATGGCCTAAGGGGACCCCAAGCCCAGGTTTTTCCCCTTTTTCTTAAGGTGGACCAGGGAGCGGGTAGAAACCAAAACTGTAACTGAGGAGTACAGGGAGCTGTCACGGGGGCAAAGGACCAGACACTCACTGTGCAGGCGGGTGGCATTGGGAGCTGGGTCAGGAAACCGGGTTATCTTGAGGAGCCTCTTCCTTCGGGCAGGGTCCACCACCCCATTGCCGACGTGTGTGGGAGTCAAGAGATCAACCTGGGACAGGAGGCCAGGGTGTAGGTGGTGCTGGGTCACCTGGCTGGGGCTGCCGGCCCCGCCCAGCTCCATGCCTGGCCCCGGCCCTGCAGTTTCACGTCCGACTTCCCTCCCGACCCGGGCCAGGCCTAGGTACCTGGCTCTGCAGATTTTTGATTCTCAAGTGCTGTTTCTCCAGGTGTCGCTGCTGCTGGGCCACCTTCAGGGACAGCTGCTCGATCCTACTGTTCTGAGCCCTGAGCTGGGTCTGGGGAGAGTGACCACGTCGGTGAGGACCTGCCTTACGCGTGCCATCTCCCCATTCATCCGTTCTGCCCAGCCTGCGTCCTCTGGGGCCATCTCAGGGGCCCCTGCCCAGCAAGAATGGCGCGCGCCGCCTTCCCGTCCACACAGCCCGCAGGTGCGCGCACGAGGGGGTTGTCGTATGGACCTGCAGGCCGCGGAGGGTCTCGGGCGCCTCCTCGTCGCCGGCGACGGCGCTGTCGAGGGCTCTGGAAGGCGAGGGGGATGCCCCGACTCCCCGGCACGCGGCCCCGCATTCGGCCAGCCGCCGCTCCAGCTCGCCCAGCTGCCCACGAGTGCGCTCTACATGTTCGCGCAGCCCGTGGCCGAGCTGCAGCAGCCCGTGTGCCAGCACGTTCACCTCGTCCCAGGACGCGGGGCGCTGCGGGTCGGGGGACGCAGGGTGGCCCCACGCGCTCAGCAGCCCGGCGGTGGCGGCGCACAGCACCAAGGCCGCGCTGGCAGTCGGGGTGCAGCGCATTGCAAGAGCGAAGACGCGGGGAGCAGACAGCTGGAGACGCGGAGAGCGAAGGGCCCCAGCCTCAGGCCTGACTGGCTCGGGTATCACCAGCCGGCGCAACGCCCTCTTTTATGGAGCCGGAGCAAGGCGGGAGGGGGCGCGCAGGAGGCGGGGAGCGCAGGGGCGGGGTGAGGGCGGCCGCGGAACCCCTCGGCCGTGCGCCTGACTCTGACAGTCGTGGGACACGCGAACCACCTTCGCCCACTGCCTCCCATTCCCCTTCCGCCGTGTTCTGGGGCAGTCTTCAACAATCCCGGACGGGGTGGCATGCCTGCCATTCCCCGAGTTAGGCTGGGGAGCACGGCGTTGTGAGCTTGCCACCGAGGGGAGGAGGTCCCCTCCCGGTGCTCCGAGCCTAGCCGCCTCCGGGAAGTGCCCTGCGATCCGCAGAGCCCGCAGCTCACCCCCTGCTCCCGGACGCCGCGGGTCCCACGCTCCCTCCCGCTCGGGGGCTGTCATCGCGGATGCGTCTGCGAGATGCCACAGCACCCGCCCCTCAAACCGCCAGCGCCCTGGTGGGCTCCGCAGTGTTCAGGCTACAGCACGCGGGGCCCACCGCGTTCCCTTCCCTCGCCGCCAAGGACGTCCTGTTTCGGGTTTTGCCATATTCAAGCAAAAACCTAAGGCCCCGGGAAGAAATTTCCCTCTCCACCTTCCTTCCTTCCTTCCCTCCATCCATCCATCCTTGCTTCTTTCTTCATTCAATGAAAAGGGCTGCTGGTCCCAGTCCAGGACCCTGCGCCGAGAGAGACGCCCACGCTGGGCCTAAGAAAGGACAACTTGGGACGAAAGATGACCCGAATGAGGAGGCTAAGCTTTCCTTAGCGTCCCTACGGAGGCTGGCACAGAAAACCTGCCTGCTGGGAAGAAGCACGGGCAGGGGGGCTGAGAAAACCGGGAAGGAAGAATGAGAGAAAAAAAAACAAAAAAGGACAGTGTTGAGCGTTGAGTCAGTAGGGCCGGCAGCCAGCAGCACAGCCTTGGAAACCCCAGGCCCTGCAGTCACTCAAACACTTGGCCAGGCTGGGCCACGGGCCAGGACAGCCGAGCCCAGCAGGGAGGAAACCCCAGCTGGGGGCAGATTGTGTGACCACCATCTGGCCTGCCCAGCCCCTCAGCCGCTCTCTGCTGGTGGCCTCAGGATGCCTCTCCTCTCCCCCAGCTTCCTGCCCCAAAAGAAATGAGCCCTGCTCCTTACCTGCCAGCCTTTTCCACAGCTGCTTTCCAGGGACTTCTTTCTTTAGGCTCTTGTTTCAGACAGCACAAAACCAGTAGAACCTACACTGAGGGTTGGAGAGGGGGTGGTGCCCACCTTGTAATTCTGGAATCTGGGAGGCTGATGCAGGAAGATCGCAATTGGAGCCCAGCCAATTAGCCAATTTAGCAACTTGGCAAGACCTAGTCTCAAAATAAATAAGTGAAATACACACATACACACACACACACACACACACACACACATATATGGATGAAAAATGAATACATGTTTAGAGATGTAGTCCAGTGCAAAAACTTGTTCAATCCCCAGGACAGAAAACAGAAAAGAGCACCGCAGAGCTCAGAGGCACCTGTTGTACCTTTGGGAAGGGCTCCCAGACTTTACCCTAAACTGCCCTGCACCTTCTGACCCAGCCATGACACAGCCAGCCCAAATGTTCCTGCTTGGGACCAGCAGCTAAATCTGTTACCAGACAAGGAAACTCAGGTCCCAGCATTTGGGAGGCTGAGGCAGGAGGATGAAGCAGAGCCCTGTGTTATGATTTATGTCAGTGCCTCCCCTCCAAGCCTCATGCAATCCTGGATGCCAACAAATCTAGCCTTTGTGATTAGTTCATTGTCTAGTGCTCCAATTGATGGTATGAGTGCCACACCCACCCAGGGGTGGAGCCAGCATACAGTGTAACAGAAGGGAAGAAGGCATGTGTGTGTGTTTCTCTCTCTTTTTCCCTTAGCACCTTGCTGTTTGTAGTGGCCATGAAAGGAGGCCCCGCCACACCACCTTGTCTTGTAGCCAGCTGAGTATGGACTGAAACCTCCAAGAACTGTAAGAAATAATCCTTTCTTTCCCTAATTTTGGGCATCAGGTATTTTGTCTCAACAATAAGAGAAAAGTAACCAAAACACCATGTCTCTGTAGGGCTTCAGCCTGTTGTAGGATATGGCGTCTGGAGGAAATTTGGGTTCTTTCCACTCTATCACAGGGACTCTTGCTAGGACAGGAAGAGCAATGCTATTTATACTAAGAGCAGCAGCTATGATCCTAGTAGTTATAGGATTGAATGAATATGGAATCGCCTTTGAACGCTACCTGGAATGGATGAAGTGTCCATAGGATGTTCCCTGCTTTGTTTGTTTGTTTGAAACAGGGTCTCACTAGGTAGTACAGGCTGGCTTTGAACTCACAGCGACCTTCCGGCCTCAGCCTCTCAAGTGCTGGGATGACACACAGTGGCTGTCTACAAAGCAGTTCTTCAGCCCCAGTCAAGCTTGCAGATGACTGCAACCACCCACACACCTGTCAGCTACTGCAGGACACTGCAAGCTGAGACTACCTGGCCCAGCTACTCTGGAACTCCTGATGCATATGGACTCTGAAATAATAAGTATTATTGGCCAGCTATGGAGCATGCTTGTAATCCCAGCACTCAAGAGGCTGAGGCAGGAGGACCCCCACTCAGGCCAGCCTGAACTAACATAATGGAATCCTGTCTCACCCCCCACTCCACCCCCAAAAAACATTTGAGTGTGATAATGCATGCCTGTAATCCTGGCACCTGGGAGGCTGAGGCAGGAGGATTCCTGTGAAAAATAATTGCCCAAATAAATAAATAAGTAAATAAAAAGGACTATAGGAAGGAGGAACTCTAGGCACCCTGAATTCAATTCATGCTAAAACAAAAAACCAAAACAATGAAGTCAGATACACAGAGACCCCCCCCCAACATATGTATTAAAACACACACCTAAATGACAGACACAAGCAAGGACATGTTCTGACAGGGAGAGACAGCTCACACTCACACACTTGTTTCCTGAACGCTTGAGGGTGTGTCACACGTGTGCTTGTGCCCTCTGGCCCTGGGCTGGGGGCAGGAATGCTTACATAACCTGGGACCGTACCCTGACCCACGTTATCTAATCTGCGGTCCCCGTTCAGTACCTCCACCCTGTGCCCAAGCTCGGCGCCCTTCAGAGTGAGGTTTTCACCCAGTGCTGGAACGTGTGCTGCGTGGCCTTCAGGACGGTGTACCATCTCATCTGGCCTCAAGAATGTTTTATTTGTAATCACAGTTTTTTTTTCTGTATGCGCAAGCATTTTCATTTTGATGAAATGAGAAATTTTTTAGCCGCTTTACTGAAGTTAAATGATCCATTGTGCAATCCAATTAAGTCTGATTCAGGCTCCTGCGTGAGAAATTCCCCCCACAGCCAGGGCACCAGGCACCTCTTCCATGCCCAGGAATTTCTTTATGACCCTGCATGACCCATTTACTTTTTGTCTTTATAGATGCTTCTGCATGTTCTAGAATGTTATGTAAACGGAACCATAGCGGATTGTCTGGCTTCACCTGCTTGTCTGACAGCATGATTATGCTTCCGTTCCAAGGTCCAATTCTTTTTAGTTTTAATATGCTTATATATTACTTCTGTGGCTGAGGCACAGGGGACAAATTCTTCTCCCCCACAGTAGACTGTCTCTTCACTCTGTCAGTTTGCTCTGCCGTGTAGAGGCTTTTCCGTATAGTGTGAGCCCTACCACTGATTCTTGGTGTTCTTTTCAGAAAGTCTTCCCTGTGTCTGTCTTCAAGAGTTGTACCAATTTTATCTTCCAGCAGATTAAGTGTTTCTGTTTTAACGTTATATCTTCATCTATTTTGATTTTAGTTTAATGTGTGGTCAAAAATATGGATCAAGCCGTGCATGGTGGCTCATGCCTGTAATCCCAGCACTCGGGAGGCTGAGGCAGGAGGATCGTTGTGAGTTTGAGACCAGCCTGGGCTACAAAGTGAGCTCAAGGCCAACCTGAACTGCATAGTGAGACCCTGTCTCAAAAAGACAAAAAAAAGAAAAAGAAAAATGTATCTATACTCAACCAGCTGCATATGGAAAGCCAGTTTTCCGAGCACCACTTATCAAAGAGGCCGTCTTTCCCCAGCGTATGTTTCTGGCCCCTTTGTCAAAGACCAGATGGCTGCGTGTTCCTGGGGTCATTTCCGCACCTTCAAATCTATTTTGTTAATCTGTGTGTCTTTTTCTATGGAGTTTCTCATAGAAGACTCGAATTTTTGGTGCTACTGCCTCAGCCCTCTAAATGCTGAGATTATAGGTGTGCACCACTGCAACTGGCATCTGCGTTTTTATTTTAGTAAAACTTAAAATACATTCCTGCAGGGGCTGGAGATTTAGCTCAGTGGCATAAGCGCCTGCCTTGCAAGCAGGCAGTCGTGAGTTCGATCCCTGGTATCGATAAAAAGGAAAAAGACAAAGACAAAAATACACTCCTGCAGTGCTGGGAAGGGAACCCCAGGCTTTGCTCTGCTAGAAAAGCACGCTGTACGGTGACCTACACCCAGCCTGAGGATGCACCTTTGTAATCTGGGAACATTACCTCCTGGCTTCCACAGGAGTTGGCCAATTAATACGCAGGAGCCTGTGCTTATCCCCTCACCATTGCCAAGGCATTGTTTTCACAAAGTTTTTGGATTCTCGCCAATCTGGTAGGTGGAAATGACATCTCACATAGTTTTAATCTTTGCCGCATCCCAGATTATCTTTGCAAATGCATAATGACCGTTTGTATTTTTTGTGTCCAGCCTTTTTTTATTTTTAAATTTTTTTTGAAATGGGGTCTCGTTACGTAGCCCAGGCTGGCCTTGAACTCACAGCCATCCTGCTACCTCTGCCTCTCAGGTGGTGGGATCACAGGCGTGTGCTCCTATTCCTGTTGACATTTCTTTTTGTTTTTCTTTTCTTTTCTTCTTTTTTTTTTTTTTTGAGGGAAAGAAAATTTATCAGTCTGTCTCCTGCTCTCTTTTTTCCTGGTGCTAGGAATGAAACACAGAG